AGGAGGGAGGAGGGGACAGAGCAGCTGGGGTGGGGAGGACAGAGCAGCTGGGGTGGGGAGGAGGGAGGAGGGGCAGAGCAGCTGGGGTGGGGAGGAGGGACAGAGCAGCTGGGGTGGGGAGGAGGGACAGAGCAGCTGGGGTGGGGAGGAGGGAGGAGGGGACAGAGCAGCTGGGGTGGGGAGGAGGGAGGAGGGACAGAGCAGCTGGGGTGGGGAGGAGGGAGGAGGGGGCAGAGTAGCTGGGGTGGGGAGGGGGGACAGAGCAGCTGGGGTGGGGAGGAGGAGGAGGGGGCAGAGTAGCTGGGGTGGGGAGGAGGGAGGAGGGGCAGAGCAGCTGGGGTGGGGAGGAGGGACAGAGCAGCTGGGGTGGGGAGGAGGGACAGAGCAGCTGGGGTGGGGAGGAGGGAGGAGGGACAGAGCAGCTGGGGTGGGGAGGAGGGAGGAGGGGGCAGAGTAGCTGGGGTGGGGAGGGGGGACAGAGCAGCTGGGGTGGGGAGGAGGGAGGAGGGGGCAGAGCAGCTGGGGTGGGGAGGAGGGAGGAGGGACAGATCAGCTGGGGTGGGGAGGAGGGACAGAGCAGCTGGGGTGGGGAGGGGGGAGGAGGGACAGATCAGCTGGGGTGGGGAGGAGGAAGGAGGGGACAGAGCAGCTGGGGTGGGGAGGAGGGAGGAGGGACAGAGCAGCTGGGGTGGGGAGGAGGGAGGAGGGACAGAGCAGCTGGGGTGGGGAGGAGGGAGGAGGGGACAGAGCAGCTGGGGTGGGGAGGAGGGAGGAGGGGACAGAGCAGCTGGGGTGGGGAGGAGGGACAGAGCAGCTGGGGTGGGGAGGAGGGAGGAGGGGGCAGAGCAGCTGGGGTGGGGAGGAGGGAGGAGGGGACAGAGCAGCTGGGGTGGGGAGGAGGGACAGAGCAGCTGGGGTGGGGAGGAGGGAGGAGGGGGCAGAGCAGCTGGGGTGGGGAGGAGGGAGGAGGGGACAGAGCAGCTGGGGTGGGGAGGAGGGACAGAGCAGCTGGGGTGGGGAGGAGGGAGGAGGGGGCAGAACAGCTGGGGTGGGGAGGAGGGAGGAGGGGACAGAGCAGCTGGAGTGGGGAGGAGGGGGCAGAGCAGCTGGGGTGGGGAGGAGGGAGGAGGGGGCAGAGCAGCTGGGGTGGGGAGGAGGGAGGAGGGGGCAGAGCAGCTGGGGTGGGGAGGAGGGGACAGAGCAGCTGGGGTGGGGAGGAGGGAGGAGGGGACAGAGTAGCTGGGGTGGGGAGGAGGGAGGAGGGGGCAGAACAGCTGGGGTGGGGAGGAGGGAGGAGGGGGCAGAACAGCTGGGGTGGGGAGGAGGAAGGAGGGGACAGAGCAGCTGGGGTGGGAGGACAGAGCAGCTGGGGTGGGGAGGAGGGGACAGAGCAGCTGGAGTGGGGAGGAGGGGGCAGAGCAGCTGGGGTGGGGAGGAGGGAGGAGGGGGCAGAGCAGCTGGGGTGGGGAGGAGGGAGGAGGGGACAGAGCAGCTGGGGTGGGGAGGACAGAGCAGCTGGGGTGGGGAGGAGGGAGGAGGGGACAGAGCAGCTGGGGTGGGGAGGGGGGACAGAGCAGCTGGGGTGGGGAGGAGGGAGGAGGGGACAGAACAGCTGGGGTGGGGAGGGGGGACAGAGCAGCTGGGGTGGGGAGGTGGGGACAGAACAGCTGGGGTGGGGAGGAGGGAGGAGGGGACAGAGCAGCTGGGGTGGGGAGGAGGGAGGAGGGAGCAGAGGAGCTGGGGTGGGGAGGAGGGAGGTGGGGGCAGATCAGCTGGGGTGGGGAGGAGGGACAGAGCAGCTGGGGTGGGGAGGTGGTGAGCACCATGACTGTTTCCCACCTGTAGCCTCCAGACTCCTCCCTGGATTCAAAGGTGCTCTCTGTCTCCTGTTAACTATTTTTTAAAAAAAGCATTTATTTATTTGAAAATCAGAGTTACACAGAGAGAGAAGGAGAGGCAGAGAGAGAGAGGTGTCTTCTATCCACTGGTTCACTCCCTAATGGGCTGTAACAGTCAGAGCTGAGCTGATCCAAAGCCAGGAGCCAGGAGCTTCTTCTGGGTCTCCAAAGTGGGTGCAGGGGCCCAAGGACTTGGGCCATCTTCTACTGCTTTCCCAGGGCATAGCAGAGAGCTGGATTGGAAGTGGAGCAGCCGGGATGTGAACCGGTGCCCATATGAGATGCTGGCACTGCAGACAGTGGCTTTACCCTCTGTGCCACAGCGCCAGCCCCTCTCCTGTTAACTCTGTGACTTTGGTCAAGTCTCCAATTTATGTGTGCCTCAGTTTCTCCAAAAGGAGAGATGATAATAAATACTATTGAGAGGAACTTTAAAAATCCATGAAAAATTGAATTTTTAAAAATTTTATTTATCTAAAAGAGTTATACACACACACACATATACACACAGAAGGAGAAAAGAAGAGAGATCTTCCATCTGATGGTTCATTCCCCAGATGGTCACAACAGCTGGGGCTGGGCAGGTGGAAGCCAGGAGCCAGGAATTTCTTCCAGGTCTCTCACATGGGTGGCAGGGGCCCAACCACTTGGGCCATCTTCCATTGTCTTTCTCAGGCCATTAGCAAGGAGCTAGATTGGAAGTGGAGCAGCTGGGACTCTAACCGGTGCCCATATGGGTGGCCGGCATTTAGCAGCCATGCCACAAAAACACCAGATCCTGAAACATTGAATTAAAAGATAACTTTAGGGGCCGGCACTGTGCACAGTAGGTTAATTCTCTGCTTGTGGCACTGGCATCCCATATGGGTGCTGGTTCTAGTCTCACCTCCTCCACTTCTGATCCAGCTCTCTGCTATGGCCTAGGAAGGCAGTAGAAGATGACTGATGTGCTAGGGCCCCTGCACCCACGTGGGAGACCAGGAAGAAGCTCCTGGCTCCTGGCTTTGGACCTGCTCAGCTCCGGCCATTGTGGCCATTTGGGGAGAGAACCAGCAGATGGAAGACCTCTGTCTCTCACTCTCTCTGTAATTCTACTTCTCAAATAAATAAATAAAATATTTTTTTTTTAAAAAGATAGCTTTGTTTGAGTGTCAAAATTTTGAAAGCCACGCATAGTATTTTCCTAATACACATTTTCCGCGAACTTTTTGAAGGCTTCTGCTTTGTAGTGAGAAGCACTGGACACGTGGGAAGCCCTGACAAATGCTGGCTCCATGCCTGCCCCTGGCAACACAGACTCCAGAGAGTCAGGAATATTCGTACCAGCACCCAGCCTTGGGGGCCCTTTGACGTGTTTGTGAGCTGATCACTCACCCTTGTGGCTCAGGATGTCCCATCTGGGACCCTGTCTGTAGGGTTACAGATGGGATCGCCTCGGGCCTGTGGCTGCGACCACTGAGTCCCTTGCCCCCCCCAGGCCCGGTGACACCCCCAGATTGTCAGAAGTCTGGCCGGTACAGCTAGGAGGCCCTTAACTGAACCTAAGCAGGGCCTGGTCCTTAGCAACCTGGGCCTTGGTTCTGAGCCCGCCTCCTGGGTGGGCATCCTGTGTCCACGGTGTCGCCCTCCAGAACCTGGGAACTGACCTAACCTCCTCAAGTGGCCATCCCCAGGTGGTCTTCCTCCTCCCTTTTCCTGGTCTCCTTCGTTGTCTGTTTTTAAAGAGAAGAGACTGAAAGCACTTTCACTCTCTTGCAGAAAAAAACTGATAGAGTTTTCTTCTTGTTCCCACCCACAAGAAATGAGTAACACAGTCATTCAGGGGCTCAGCCCCCAAAGCACGTGGTGACATCATCCTTGCACTAGGGGGGCTATTCCTCACCAGCCAACTGGTGGGCAGTGGCCTTTGGGTCACCCCAAGCACACCACACTGCTGCCACCTCTGATCGCAGTGCCACCACCCAGAGCCATGCTGAGACCACCTAATTCTGTGTCCGTGCAGTTTCTCTCCTTGGCTTGCCCAGTCCAAGGGCTTTTTATTTTTTTTAGAAAAAAAAAATGGAGGAGAAACAAAAGAAAATTATCTGAATTCTTAAAGCCTAATACTGATATTGTACAGCCTCTTTGCCTATGTAATTCTCCAACCTGACCGCGAAAGCAGCCGAAGTGATAACCTCCAAACCTTACGTTGAAATTGTGTACTAGACCATCCGGTTCCATCTGCCCATCCATGCAGCCGTCCATCTGTCCGTCAGTCCATCCACCTGTGATCACTAGGGTAGAAGAACACACTCCTGGCCTCGCCTGCAATGGCCGTGCCCTTGGAGTACATTGCCATCCTTGCTGTGTAGCGCTCAGAGCTCAGCCTTCTCCCAGACGCCGGTGCTCAGGGGTCGCACGTTCGAGGTGGACGGATGGATGCATAGTCCTGGCCGTGATGGTCTCAAGCACTCAGACCTCGCAGCCTGTCCAAGGCCTCGTCCCAGCTTCCAGGCCGTGCAGTGTTTGGGGTCACTGGCCCGTTATCCGAGCCACAGCCTGCTCTTCTCAGACCTCTGCAATCTAGTTGACTTCCAATTAGCCACAGCAACGACTCAGCGAATGGCAGAGAGAATTCAAACACCCATTTGCACTTGGCTGTGCGGAAACAAAAAGGGATTATTTTTTCTGTGGCAGTTGATTTTTCATCTTAATTATGCCCTGATTAATCTGAAAATGAGCTTTCCCACCCCCTGGCAACAGCGGCTTTCCTGGAACAGTAGCATCCCGGGAAACAGGCTCAGTGCTCTGCACATCAGCCCGGGACTCCCACCATGGGTTGGCCATGAAATGAGACATCAACACAGGGATCCCATCTGCATGAGTCCTGATTTCCCTGTGGGAAAGAACTGTGGCAAACAGCCACCGCGCCAAAGCCCAGTGACCCGGTGTGTGTCTCTAGCACTAGACTCAATTTCGTCTCTGTTTCTTGTCTCCTGAATAGACCCCTTAGTGGCCCTCCGGTCTGCGTCCCTCGCACACATTCTAGACGTTTCTGTGCCGGGCGGGGGCGGGGGCGGCGCGATGCCAGGAGGGGGCTCACCTCCCGTGGTTTCCGTGCAGGGCGCTGCGGGTCCGCAAGAAGATGTCTGGGGAGAAGATGCCGGTGAAGATGATCGGCGACATCTTGAGCGCCCAGCTGCCGCACATGCAGCCGTACATTCGCTTCTGCAGCTGCCAGCTCAACGGAGCCGCCCTGATCCAGCAGAAGACGGATGAGGCCCCGGACTTCAAGGAGTTTGTCAAGGTAAGGGGCCCAGGCTGTCCCTGGCAGGGCCCTCTTTGGGCAGCTGGGTGTGTGAGGGGCCTGGAGGGGATGGGCAGCCCCAGGCATCTCCAGGGGTCCTTTCCCAGGGGTCGGTGGTCTGACTTGGACCCACGGGAGCTTTCCCGTCTCATTTGCTGGCCCAGGCGGGCCTCGGGGTTCCTCCTCCATGTGCTCTGAGCACCCTCGGTTCCCTGCAGGGCTCTGCCCTAATCCTGCAAGATGTTCCTCTCCCACTTGCTTCTGCCTGATGGGTTCAAGCTCCCAGCAGCCCACGGGAGTCAGTGTGAGACAGGATGGCAGGGCCTGGAGAGCCGCGTGTCCATTAGGAAACATTTGGAGAGAGGGTGCCAATGTCCCTGGAGCCCTCAGCCCTGGGCCTGAAGCCCTGGGACCCGATCTTGGCCAGAGTGGGTCCCTGCTGGCCACACCACACCATGCAAACAGCCCTCCCCTTGTCCACTGGGGAAAAAAAAATAGGAAGAGAATAAAACGACGTCCACTAACCAGGTGCGTTTTGCTGAGTCAGCAGCAAGCCGGCCTTTGCACCTCTTGTTTCTGGGGCACAGGCCGCTGTCACCTCCCCAAGAATCGTGTTTGTGGAATCCTCACTGTGAGGTGTACGTGTGGTCAGGGCCTCATGGAAGCCTGCCGTCCACTTGTAGGTGGGATGTGCATGCGGCTGGGTTGCCGGTTGCCATGGGGATCTGGGGGTTTCAACCAGGGGCCAGCTCTGGACACAGCATTGGATGGACTTAAACGCCATGGGGAAACCTTGACACTAGCCCTGGCTGGGGCAAGGGGCTTCTTGTCTTCGCCGTCCCCTCTCCTCCCGCCCTCTCCCTGCCTCGTCGTGGCAGGACATCAGTGCGCCTTGTCCCTGGAGTGATGGGCCAGGTACTGGTGAGTTTCAGGTCTGGGGACTCCAGCCAGTGGCACTCAGCCAGACCTGAGCTTTCAAGAGCTGAGTCACCGTGGCGTCCCTGGGACTTGTAGACAGGGCACAGAGGATTCCTCTGCCCCAGAGGGGTTAGCAGGGACAGGCAGAAGCCGTGGGTGGAGCGAGGCAGGGAGCCGAGGGTGGAGAGGAACCAGAGGCCTGGAGACTGCAGTCTGGGTACCACCCTTGCTCTTCCTGGCCCGGCCTGGGCCTTGCAGAGGCGTGGGTGACCCCACCCGAAGCCAGACGCTTCGATCCAGCCCTTGCAGTCTCTCGAGGACCGAGGGGCGTTTTTTGTTCTGACCGCGCAGTCCTGTGACTTCCCGTTCCCTGGAATGTTGGAAAGCTCGCGCGGAACTCCGCAAGGGTTTACGGAATTCTCCTCTCCGCAAGCAGCCGCACGTCCCGAGGAAGTGACACGGAGTGTAGACAGCCCAGCTGAACCCTGGGGGACGGGTCTTGGCAGCGGGCCTCCCATTCCCTATCTGGAACCTGCCTTCACCAGTCCGGCCCTCCAAGCCTGGGTGCCTCGGTTGTCACCCAGATGGAATGAGACAGTGGGTGGGTGGGGAGTGCTGAGCCGTGTTAGTGTTGTTGATGTCACCAGCTTTGCCTCTTGCAGATTTCCTAAGTGAAAAAAAAAAAAAAAAAACAAAAACAAAACCAAACCTCTTATTTCAGAGACTGGCAATGGAGCCCAGATGTAAAGGGATGCCTCTTTCCAGTTTTATACTGAAGCCCATGCAGCGGGTGACAAGATACCCCCTGATCATTAAAAATGTAAGTACCCACGGTGCCTTGGTAAGCGGGAGGGCGGGACAAGGTCCCCCAGCCAACACACCTGGGAGCCGGTGCGTGGACATCGTAGGTCAGTGCTGGGGTCACCTGCCGGGCACTCGGAGAGGAAGGTGGGTTAGCCAGAGAAGAGCTGGGAGCGTACAACCTCCAGATGCGCAGCCGAGTGGCTTCTCCCTCCAAGTCACCGGAGGAGAGCTCCCTTCCCGATTCTTTTCCCATGGAGACCCAGTGTGCCTCTAGGCCTGACTTGCCCAGCAGGAAAGAGAGAAAGAAACACGATTCCTGCCAGCCGCCTTTGGAAGGCCACCGGGAGGCACCCTGTGTGAGGCGATTGCTTCTCTTCTGCCCCTTCGAGAAAGCCAGTGCAAAGACAAGAAGAAAGTTGGGGTTCTGGTGTCCCCCCCAGAGCACCATGAGCACACTGGCCCTGTGACTGCATCACCCAGGGAGGATGGTCCCTGGAGAGCGGTTGCGGGTCTGGTTCTTTTTCATGGAGGATGGTCTTTAGAAACCCAAGTGTGGCCCTGATGTGCTCATGGCTACTGAGGTGTCAGAGCTGGGGAATACATGTAAGTATATTCACGCACACACACACACACACACATTTACATGTGTGTACTCATGCATTTGTATTTATTTCCAGACCAGTCTAGGGTGTGTGTTAAACCCATGAACTCACACCGATACCTGCTATTCTAATCTGTTACCACAAAATGCATTGCAGTCTCGCCCTTTCTTTTCTTGCCTTTTTCAAGATTTATTTATTTATTTGAAAGGTGGGAGCTACAGGGAGGGAGAGGCAGAGGCAGAGAGAGAGAGACAGAGAAGTCTTCTATCCGCTGCTTCACTCTCCCAAATGGCCAGACCGAAGCCAGGAGCCGGGAATATCTTCCAGGTCTCCCCCATGGGTGCAGGGGCCCAAACACTTGGGCCATCTTCTGCTGCTTTCCCAGGCACATTAGCAGGGAGCTGGATTGAAGCTGAGCAGACAGGAGTGGAATGGGTGCCCACAGAGGATGCCGGCGCCACAGGTGGTGGCTTAACCGGCTACAACCCAGGGCCTGCCCCTCGCCATTTCTGTATTTGCAACTCTACACTATGAGAAACCTGACTCTCATTATGCTCCATATGTTTACTTAGTTGTTCAGCCTCCTTATTTGTAGCACATCTCTCCCACATGAGCCATCTCCTTAGTTCAGCCTCATCGCCATTCTCCCAAAATAGACTGTGAGCGCTTCTGTTAAGTTCAATAATTAGTTTTGAAAGAAGCCTTCCCTCTCTCCCAACTCCACACTTACTATTTAATTCGCTGAATGCTTCTTTTTATCTCCTTCAATCAGTTTGAGTGCAAACTGATGTTGAAAGCAAGCTTTTAAAATAGGTATCCTAGGCCTAGCCAATGGGGAGGAAAACAGAAAAGAACCAAGAAGCAAAAATACTAAAAAGGAAAAGAGAAGCCATCATGATTTGCGGAAGTGCAACTGCTGCTCTCCAGAGCCCGCAGGAGAATGTCTGAAAGATGGCTGAGGTTAAGAGAGAATGGAGGGGCCGATGGAGAATGAGGGGCTGTGGCGTAGTGGCTAAGCTGCTGCCTGCAGTGCTGGCATCCCGTATGGGCGCAGGTTCATATCCTGGCTGCTCCACTTCTGATCCAGCTCTCTGCTGTGGCCTGGGAAAGCAGTGGAAGATGGCCCACGTGCTTGGGCCCCTGCACCCACGTGGGAGACCTGGAAGAAGCTCCTGGCTCCTGGCTTTGGATCAGTGCAGCTCTGGCCGGCCATTACGGCCAACTGGGGAGTGAACCAGCAGATGGAGGACCTCTCTCTCTCTCTCTCTGCCTTTGCCTCTGCTTCTCTGTAATTTTGCCTTTCAAATAAATAATAACTAAATCTAAAAAAAAAAAAAAAAGAATGGAAAAGTGGCCAGTTGGAGAGATTCTTAGCATAGCATCAAGGATAGAAATTCAAGGATTTACAGTCATTCGCACGTACCTTTGAATCTGGGGGACAGCCTGTGTTCACTAAAGGGAGTGGCTAATTAAGTTAGGGAGGTCTGTACCACGACAATACTTTGAAAGGTACAAGGCAGGGGCTGGCATTGTCATGCTGTGGGTTAAGCTGCCACCTGCAGTGCTGGCATCCCATATTGGATAACTCCTCTGAGTCCTGGCTCCTCTGCTTCCAACCCAGCTCCCTGCTAATGTGCCTGAGAAAGCGGCAGAAGATGGCCCACATGCTTGGGCCCCTGCACCCACATTGGAGGCTTGGATGGAGGGAGTTCTAGGCTCCTGGCCCAGCCCATGTGGTCATTTGGGAAGTGAACCAGCAATTGGAAGCTCTACTTCTCTGTCTCTCTCTCAGTCACTCTGCATTTCAAATAAATAAAATAGACCTTAAAAAAAAAAAAAAGGAAGAAAGGAAGGAAGGAAGGAAGGAAGGAAGGAAGGAAGGAAGGAAGGAAGGAAGAGGACAACTTTTATTCTATGTATTAGCATAGAAAGAGATCCAGAAAATGTTATGTGAAAACAAAACAAAACAAAATACGGTCCATGGTGCAATCCTATAGTATGGCCCATTCTGCAAGCAGAGGGGGAAATTTTACCTGTGACTGTGGTGCACAGAGAGATCTGAAGGTTTGGAAGGAATGCCCTTCCGTGTGCTGGCCGCAGCTGCCCCGGGGGCACTTCCAGGTGTGCTCCACGCACGTCTGTATGGCTGACTCTGGCATATCAAGACCATGTTATGTGTTTTATTGGCATCAACATTCTTCTGTGTGACAAAAAGTAATGAGCAAAGGTGGAAGAGAAGTGACACATAGAAACTGTAAAACAGTTTTAACTGTGTACAAATTGGCACTGAAATATAAACATGTATCTATATCCGTGTATCAAGCACTCATGACTCAATAATAAAAAAAGAATAAAAAATTTCCAGTAGAACAGTGGATAACTCTGTCACTGAACATTGCTGGGAGGCAGTGGCGAGTGGCGCTAAAGAGCACACAGTCTCAGGGAGCCAAAGCTGTGGCATAGTGGGCTAAGCCTCAGCCTGCAGCGCTGCCATCCCATATGGGTTCCAGTTCAAGTCCCAGCTGCTCCACTTCTTTTTTTTTAAGATTTATTTATTTATTTGAAAATCAGAATTACGCAGAGAGAGGAGAGGCAGAGAGAGAGAGAGAAAGAGAGAGAGAGAGAGAGAGAGAGAGAGAGAGAGAGAAGGAGAGGTCTTCCATCCGCTGGTTCACTCCTCAATTGGCCGCAATGGCTGGAGCCGCACCGATCTGAAGCCAGGAGCCAGGAGCTTCTTCCAGGTCTCCCATGCAGATGCAGGGGCCCAAGGACTTGGGCCATCTTCTACTGCTTTCTCAGGCCACAGCAGAGAGCTGGATTGGAAGTGGAGCAGCTGGGGTTCGAACCGGCGCCCTTATGGGATGCCGGCACTGCAGGCGGTGGCCTCACCTGCTACGTCACAGTGCCAGCCCCTGCTCCACTTCTGATCCAGCTCCCTGCTAATGCACTTGGGAAAGCAGCAGAGGATGGCCCAGGTGCTTGGGCCCCTGCACCCATGTGGGAGACCTGGATAAAGTTCCTGGCCATTGTAGCCATTTGGGGAATGAACTAGTAGATGGAAGACCTTTCTCTGTCTCTTCTTCTCTCTCTGTCTATAACTCTACCTCTCAAATAAATAAATATTAAAAAAAGGAAAAAACCTACACTTTCTTTGGCCCAATAATTATACTTCAAGGAATTTATTCTAAGGAAATAAGCAGAAAAATATTGGAAAAGCGGAAGCAACTTGAAGATCTATGGCAGGGATGGGGAACACCTGCCCCATGGACCAAATAAGGCCCACGAAAATCATCTGGTCTTGGTGCTGCCAAGGCAACCACAGGCAGTACTCAAGATTTGATGAATCTACAGCAAGATAGGGTTTTTTTTTAAAGATCTATTTATTTATTTGAGAGGCAGAGTTATGGACACAGAGAGGGAGAGACACAGAGAGGGAGGTCTTCCATCCACTGGTTCACTCCCCAGATGGCTGCAATGGCCGGAGCTGTGCTGATCCAAAGCCAGGAGCCAGGAGCTTCCTCTGGGTCTCCCACGCAGGTGCAGGGGCCCAAGCACTTGGGCCATCTTCTACTGCTTTCCCAGGCTGTCATCAGAGAGCTGGATCGGAAGAGGAGCAGCCGGGGAAGTGGTCTCCATATGGGATGCCAGTGCTGCGAGCAGAGGCTTAGCCTACTACACAGCAGCGCCGGCCCCAGGCAGGCTGGTTTTAGGTTGATCATTTTGTGTGGCTCGTGAAGATGGCATCAATAACCAAATGGCTCTTGGCAGTAAAAAGGCTCCCTGCCCCTGGTTAATGAGGAGGGAACTGTTGAATTGCATCATGGCTCACCCTCCCAAAAAATGACATTACATCATAGTATAGATCCATATGAAATGGCCATGAAATGATGTGCAATAAAGCAGTGTACAAAGTGGGCAGTGTGATCTAATTTGTATCCTGAAATATTACGCGTGTATGCATCGGGGCAGAGTCCATTAACTAATATGTAGATAGAGTTTCTCTCCAAATGAGGAGATTGCAGATGATTTTTAGGTTCTCTATAGCTTTCTGAATTTTCTAAACTTTGTACATTGTGCAATGTCCCTTTTGTAGTTAGACGAATCCATAAACCTGTTTTCATTCTGAAACAAAACAGAGGAACTCATGTAAGCCAGCTGTGGGGGCTCCCAGCCGTGGGCCTCACACTCGGCTGCATGGTGGAATCCCCTGGAGAGCTCTAGAAAATTCTGAATCTTGAGTTCTGCCCTCTGGTGATATCGGCATGGTTGGAGATGAGGCATGGGGTTTTTCTTTTTTTAAAAGGATTTATTTATTTATTTAATCGAAAGTCAGAGTTACACAGAGGGAGAAGGAGAGGTAGAGAGAGAGAGAAAGAGAACGAGAGAGAGAGAGGTCTTCCATCTGATGGTTCACTCCCCAATTGGCTGCAATGGCCGGAGCTGCGCTGATCTGAAGCCAGGAGCCAGGAGCTTCTTCCGGGTCTCCCATGTGGGTGCAGAGGCCCAAGGACTTGGTCCATCTTTCACTGTTTTCCCAGGCCATAGCAGGGAGCTGGATTGGAAATGGAGCAGCCAGGACTTGAACCAGCGCCCATATGGGATGCCAGCACTGCAGGCAGAGGCTTAACTTTCCATGCCACAGCGCTGGCTTTTTAATCCAAGAGGTCTCACTCCAGAACTGGACTCTCAGTCACTAGCTCAGAAGTCCCGTTTGCTCTGACGCACCTGTGTACACGCAGCTCCAGAGCTGTGTGGGCCCAGGAACAAGCCCTTTCCAAGGGATATCTGTCCAGGGGGCCTGCTGCTGTCATACCCTGGGCCACATGCCAAGCATAAGTGATGTGGCACCCTTGTCCCCGGCCAGCTTTCAGATCCTTGCCAGGGGTTAATAGGACATCGCTCAGCTGTGGATCTGGGGTTCCATTGTAAGTCCCCTCGTAAGTGATCAGGTCAGGAAAGAGCGCGCAAATGGGCTTGGGATGCCTGGGTTCTGTTCCCGGCTTCTGGCCCGAGTTCCTTCTGTGATAGAGGGGGAAGCTTTTCACAGAGAAACTGTAAGGTCCTTTCTGGCTCCATGGATCCAAGAGCCATCCTTGAGCCTGTGGGTTTGTGAGTGGCTTACTGTCCACCGTGGATGTTAGAGTTTTGCTTGCAGAAGCACAGGGCTGGGCTGAGTCCTCAAAGCTGGTACTGTCTGTTGCCTCTTGCTATGAGGCTTGGCTCCTGCAAGGCTACTGGCTAGCACCAGCATGGAGCTGGTCATTGCTGCACCTGCTGCTGAGAGCCAAGGTTGCTCCAATGGGCACCATTCAGGCAGCAACTGCGCCTAGCCGCTGTTGGGCTGGGCCCTCCAGGACTCCAAGGCCACCAGGGTAGCCCATCAGGGTGCTGGGTGTCTTCTGTCCTCTTGTGCAGATCCTGGAAAACACTCCTGAAAACCACCCTGACTACAGCCACCTGAAGCACGCCCTGGAGAAGGCGGAAGAGCTGTGTTCGCAGGTGAACGAGGGCGTGCGTGAGAAGGAGAACTCCGACCGGCTGGAGTGGATCCAGGCGCACGTGCAGTGCGAGGGCCTGTCCGAGGTAGCCGCCTGGGGGGTGGGCCCCGGGCCTGTCTGTCAGCTTGCGAGAGGGCCAGAGAATCCACCGACCCCCAGCTGCCTCTCCTCGGAGGTCTAATCCGGTCACTGAATTCCTGATTGTTTTCCGTCACCAGTGGTTGCGTTTGTCTTCTCTGATCCACTGGGTCCCGCCTTGGGTCTTGTCCCTGGCAAGGGTCCATGCTCATTTGTTTCTCAACGCGTTTCTGGACATATTCCAAGTCTGAATTCCAAGTCCGATGACCGCAGTAGTTCAAGCCGTGGGCCTTGCTGTTTTGTCCGCTGTGTCTGCCGGCTCTTGCTAAGCATGCTTTGTTTCTGTGTGCGTCCTGTGAGCTTTGACCATGAACTCAGGGTTCCTTGGACCTCCAGCTGTGGGCGTCTCTGTGGTCTGAGTTGCATTCCTGAGAGTGTTGCTGCCAGGATCGCCCTACATGAAATGTAGCCCTTCTGTGCTTGAGTTTGTCACTCACCCCCTGGCCCAGGTTTCTGTGGAAACACTGCCCCTGCCCCTGTGGAGCTACGCAGAGGGAAGTTCAATGTCTCTGGATTCAAGACAGGCTCAAAGAGGGCTGGCGTTGTGGGCCAGTGGATTAAGCGGCCACCTGTGATGCTGGCCTCCCATATGAATCCCGGATGCTCTACTTCCAGTCCAGCTCCCTACTAATGCGCCTGGGAAAGCAGTAGAAGATGACTCAAGTGCCCGGGTTCCTGCCACCCATGTGGGAGACCTGGATGGAGTTCCAGGCTCCTGGCTTCGGCTTGGCACCGCCCAGGCTGTTGTGGGCATTTGGGGGGAGTGAACCAGTGCTTGGAAGATACTGTTTTTTCGCTCTTTCTCCCTCTCTCCCCGTCATTCTGCCTTTCAAATAAATAAATAAGCCTTTAAAAAAAAAGAGAGAGAGAGAGAGAGAGAGGCTCAAGGCCAAAGCTGTCTTTGGAGCTTGATTATTTTCCAACGTTTCAATTTTTATTCTGCTTCTGGCTTCTGCACATTTCTTTGTCTTTATATTTTGCCAGCTTGCCTGCATTTGAAAAGTGGATTTTTCTATTTTACTCAATCTTTAAAAACATTTCTGTTGGTTGAGTCATTCAGAGTATCTAGGGAACCATACTTCTAGAAACAGAAATCTGCCCTTTGGTTGTTAATTCTCTTCTGGTCACTTAACCCTTCCTTTAGTCTCATTTTTTCTGCTTCTGTATAAAGGTGCATGTGCACACACACGCACACACACACACACACGTGCACATGCACACCATTCACTAGGAGTTCCCACAATGCCCTGGGGGAATGTGTATACCTCCTCCATGCTCCCCGTGGCTTCTTGTCCCCTACAAGCTTTTCTTGCCTTTTTAAGATTTCTTTTACAGAGTTACAGGGAGAGGAAGAACCAGAGAGAGAGAGAGAGAGAGAGAGAGAGAGAGAGGTCTTCCATTTGCTGGTTCACTCCCCAGAAAGCCGCAATGGCTGGAGCTGAGTTGATCTGAAGCCAGGAGCCAGGTGCTTCTTCCGGGTCTCCCACATGGGTGCAGGGGCCCAAGCACTTAGACCATCTTCTACTGCTTTCCCAGGCCATAGCAGAGAGCTGGATCGGAAGTGGAGCAGCCGGGACCTGAACCGGTGCCCACATGGGATGCCGACGCTGCAGGCTGGGCTTTAACCCGCTGTGCCACAGCGCCAGCCCCTCCTACAAGCTTTAAAGGTAGTCACCGCCTAAGGAAGTCACCACCAGTGGCTCCTCCCAGCCACACCTCCTGTCCACCTTCGGGGTAGGTGGGGGACAAGCCAAGTTGTGGAAGCAGCCCAAGGTGACGGCTGTGGACAACAATGTGGAATTCTGTGTTGCTGTGCCTTCCAGGCACCGGCTCGTCTGTTTACTGTTCACTCCTTCAGTAAACGTGGATTGAGTGTCTTCCGTGATTATTGCTCATTGACAAACCCTGAAATCAAAACTTAACGAGACCTTCCACTCTCAAGGGCTATGGTCCTGGAGGAAGCCGGCGGTCAGCCCACATTCGCCTTCTCTAAAGTTTCCACTGGAGTGTCACCGTCAGTCTTTTTTTTTTTTTTTTAAGATTTTATATATTTATTTGAGAGGTGGAATTATAGACAGAGGGAGAGAAAGAGAGATCTTCCATCCACTTGTTCACTCCCCAAATGACTGCAACAGCCAGAGCTGGGCTGATCCAAAGCCAGGAGCCAGGAGCTTCTGGGTATCCCACGCAGGTGCAGGGACCCAAGGACTTGGGCCATTTTCCACTGCATTCCCAGGCCATTAGCAGGGACCTGGATCGGAAGTGGAGCAGCTGGGACTCGAACTGGTGCTCATATGGGATGCCGGCATTGCAGGTGGAGGCCTAGCCCTTTACTGTCAGTCTTAGGAGGAGGGAAGCCATCTATCCATCTCTGTTTGTCCTTGGGGTGGACAGGAGTGGCCACTTTCCTAGCCACTGATAGGTCTCTGGTGATAGACACAGCTGAGCCTTTCTCTCGAATTGGAGGTGGACAGGTGGCCTCTGGCTTCTCTTGGAGAACTCGTTATGAACACAAACACTCCCCAGAGAGGCTGTGGGTGCCCAGCTCTGGAGGGGCCCCTGGGCCCTCGGGCTGCAGGTGGACGTCGCCCTGGGGCAGCTGTGCGGGCAAGGGAGGACCACGAAGGTCTGGCTGTGCCCGTCATCTTGCTGCCTGGCTCGGAGCTGCGGCTTTGCCTCCCTCCGTCGCTCCCTGCTGTCCCCAAGTGGGAGCTTTGCAGAGTGATCTGGGGTGGCCCAGTCCCCTTCTGCCGTCTCAGAACCTGCGGGTGAGAAACAGCACGGTACAGCAGCATCTCAGGTCCCCTGTCGTCTCTGAGGGTGGGTGAGTGGCAGGGAGAGAGCGGTCCCCTTCCAAGCGTCACAGCCAGTGAGCTGGGTGGGTGGGGTCATGTTCTGTGGGTGGCATCTGCTGTGTTCGGCTTTGCGGCGTCACCAAACCCCACTGAGTTTTGTGGGCATCCTCAGGCTGGGGGCCTGGACCCCAGGGGCTGCGTGGACAGGGGCATTTGTCCCTACAATTGAACAGCGAGTGTCCCTACTGCTTCCTGGGAGCCGGTGGGGCTGCGGGAACCTGTACGGTGCCCTCTGGTGGCAGCTGGCTCACAGCACACCCCGCCCCGCTAGCACCTCGCACCCAGCTGGGAGGTGTCCAGGTGGCCATGGCCTGGGCGCTTCTCCTCGCTGCCCCGTTTTGCAGTGAGTCCAAGGGACAAGCACGCTCGTCACACTCTAAGACCCTGGGGAAAAGGCCCCAGCAATGATACCTGAGACTCAGCGTGATACACCCAGTTCCCCAGAACCTCGCCTTTGCCGCTTTCTTTGCTCCAAAGGGTTCTGCATGAAGTCTTCCAGGGCATCCGAGCTGAGGACGCGCACCTGCGGGGCTGCCCTCCGATTCCCACCCGCGGGAGCCCGTGCGGTCAGATGCAAAGAAACAGACTTAAAAGCCCAACCCGCCTTCATCCTGTCTTCTTTGGGTTTTGTTTTTCCTTTCTCAGCAACTTGTGTTCAATTCAGTGACCAACTGCTTGGGGCCACGCAAGTTTCTGCACAGCGGGAAACTCTACAAGGCCAAGAGCAACAAGGAGCTCTACGGTTTCCTGTTCAACGACTTCCTCCTGCTGACCCAGATCACCAAGCCTTTGGGGTCTTCCGGCACCGACAAAGTCTTCAGCCCCAAATCCAACCTGCAGTATAAAATGTACAAAACCGTAAGTTCCGGCCGAGATGGCGCTGTTAGGGGTGATGTGACGTCAGGTTCTCAAAGGATCCAGAGTTTTAGCAGCACCGAGGGTTGTGGTGTGGAGGATACAGCGTGGGGACAAGCCAGGCTTCAGGGTTAGTGACGTGGAGTGCAGTCCCAGCAACACTCCATTTGATGGATAGAACACTGCTTGGCAGCCGAGTGACTGCCCAGAGTCCCCTGGGACGTGACAAACACACGCATTTCCCTGGGGGACTCGGGCCAGTGTGCAGACCAGGCAGGTGTGACAAAGCATCATCATCCAGGCGGCCCCACTACCTTTCACGCTCTCTCCCCTTCCTGTTAGAAGCTGATCTCAGTGGTCCTCGTGTGCAGAATTCCCGCGGGCGTGGGTCTGGTCTGCTCTCACATGCATGCCTGTGTTTGTGCATCTCTGTGTCATGGGATATTGTTTTTTTTTTTCTTCCAAATTTGCCTGTGTGGGGGTGTTTTTACAGAAGCAGCAGTCAGCTGTATTTTGGGAGCAAGAGCTATGAATTTATGCAGAGTGTTACTAGAAACTTGGTGTGAAAGTCTTTGAGGGAATCGCTTGCGTGTGCAGCGGCAGGGGACGTGCTGATGAGGGTAGACTGTGGGGAGGCGGACTTCATTGAAACAGATTTTATTCTGAGGGCTCAGAAAATACCTGGAAATGCAAGGGAGCCGTTCTCATGTGTAACGTGCAGCATTAAATCTGACATGAACACCAAACCCTGCCTCCAATCCAGCTTCCTGGGAGTCACGCCAACTTTGGTCTGGTTTACTGGAGCACAGAGACACATGCGCACACATACATGCCCAGTCTTGGTTCCTGGAATGCATGCTCAGGCGTGGGCGTGCACACACACACACAGTCATTTACCAGAACGTGCTTGCATAGGCACCTTACACACACACACACACATTGGGACACACACACACAGACATGCACACCCACACATGTACACCCACATCGGCACACACCTGCACACACATCGGCACACACACGCACATCCACAGACATGCACACACACGCGCACACACAGTCATTTACCAGAACATGCTTGCATAGGCACCTTACACACACACACACACACCTGCACACACACACATGTCACCTGCACACACATTGGCACACACATGCACAGACACGTACATCCACACACATGCACACACACACGCACACAGTCATTTACCAGAACATGCTTGCATAGGTGCCACACACACACACACCGGCACACACATATGCACACACACACGCACACACGCACTTATCCACACATATGCATACACATTGCACACACACGCACACACACACAATCATTTACTGGAACGTGCTTGCATAGGCGCCACACACGCACACACACACGCTTGGAGTTCGGGGAGCCCAGGGACCCCCACCCGCTGTTGTGATGCCTTCACATTCTTTTCCAGCCTATTTTCCTAAACGAGGTTCTAGTGAAATTACCCACGGACCCTTCTGGTGATGAACCCATCTTCCACATTTCCCACATCGACCGGGTCTACACCCTCCGAGCAGAAAGCATAAACGAGAGGTGAGACCTCCCCCAGCCTCTCCAGGCTCCCCCCAGCAAGCTCGGGTCCCCAGTTCCAGCATCCCCCAGCCGCAGTGCTGTAACTCCTGCTGGAAGGGGTGGAAGACGTGACACTTTTCTCTAGAGCTCCTTAACCACTGAACCTGGGGCATGGGTTCTTCAGAAATAACATCGACCCAAGCCGGTGTTGCTTGGGATTTCTCTCTCTCTCTCTAGAAGTTTTCAGCATTCTTTGGGATGAATGGAGCTTGTCAGGTTTTCCCGCGCTCCCCACATGGCAGAAACCCACAGGTTTCCTGCGATTGGGGGATTTGGCAGGACCACCTGCCCTGCCCCGCCTCCCCTGGCTCCCGTCCTGCAGCGCTGGATTCTGCTGCAATCTTCAAGACGATCTCGTGCAGCCAAATCAAACAGATCGTTTTCTGAAGGGTGAACTTGACACGAAGCCAAGCGCATTCCACGGAGCGCTTGCGCCAAGCGAGAAAGCTGGCTCCAGTTCTGGCACATATGGTCCTCAGGAGACCAGAGACTCTCCCTCCCAGCCCCGCCCCGGGTGTTCCGCTCCCCATGCCGGTGGTCCCCAGCCGGGACGTGGGTTTTTGCCCTGCCTGTGGGTGATTTCCTAGGCGAGAGCCTTCTGGATTTCCTGGGCTGGGCAGCTTCCCAGCGAGGCTCTCTCTTGGGGACGTAGAGGAGCCCCTGTGATGTCTCCTCCTGGACCCTGTTGATCTGAGGTTTTCTTCTGCAATGACGCCAGTGCAGGTGTTGGCCATAAAAATGTCACTCAGGCCTTTCTTATGGATGGCAGGGATTCGCATGAGCATCATGGGACATAAAATCACGCTGTCGTTCCTGGGCCTTTGTTGTTAAAAATCAAACAAAGACAGCGGAGTCCTGGGAGCGGAATTTGCACAGAGCCAAGCCTCCTTCCTGTGTTGTTTGGCAACTTTGTGTCTGTGTTGTTTGGCAACTTTGTGTCTTTTCCCGCTCAAGGACCGCCTGGGTGCAGAAGATCAAAGCCGCCTCTGAACTCTACATAGAGACGGAGAAGAAGAAGCGGGAGAAGGCTTACCTGGGTAACTCCCGCCGGCCGGGCTCTGGCCACGCTGCCGTGGGGCAGCCGTTTGGCCAGGCTCAGATCCCTTAGAGCTGGGACAGGCTCCTGGGGGCAGCGGGGAGGTCGTGAGATGGCTGGGCACAGGGTGCAGGCTGGGATGCTGGAGGACGGGTGGAGGGCGGGGCAGGTGTCCAGGCTAAGGGTGAAGCATCTGTGCTGTGTTTTTCCCTCTGCTGTTCCAGTGCGGTCCCAGAGGGCAACGGGCATTGGAAGGCTGATGGTGAACGTGGTAGAGGGCATTGAGCTGAAGCCCTGCCGGTCACACGGTGAGGACCTGCGCGGCCCCGGTGGCCCACGCGGCTGTTGCAGTCTTCCCTGGAGCTGTTCGCTCTGCTGTCCGGGAAGGTCCGCGTGGCTGCATTCACACCCAGTGGCTGTGGCACACTCGGAGCCTGCCTGGGAGGGCTCTGGTTCGTAAGCCCACGGATGCCCTGGTCGGTTCCCTGTCTGAAGCGTGGTGCTGAATTGTGTGTGTTTTCGCCCGGCTTCTCCATGTGAGGCCACGTAGGCCGCGTGGTGATGGAGTGGGATGAGTTGTGGCTCCCACCCTGGTGAAGGGTTTTGTGCCTTCCAGGAAAGAGCAACCCCTACTGCGAGGTGACCATGGGCTCCCAGTGCCACATCACCAAGACGATCCAGGACACCCTGAACCCCAAGTGGAATTCCAACTGCCAGTTCTTCATCAGAGACCTGGAGCAGGAAGTGCTGTGCATCACCGTGTTCGAGAGGGACCAGTTCTCACCCGATGGTGAGTCGCGGGCGTGCCTCACAGCTCGCTGCCCCTTCCCCATCGCTCAGCCTGTGCGGGCGGACGCCTCCTCTCCTGGGGATGCGATGCCCAGAGTGGCTTGGATTTCTCTCTCAAAAGACGAGGCTGGCCCAAGATAAGGCTTTCATGCACAGCAGGTGCAGCCCGGCGCACAGACACAGTGTCCTTGTCTTGGATTTGCGTCACAGTCTTGGGCCGTCCAGAGCAGGTGACTGCCAACAGGGGTGTGCCTAGGAGCTTCAGTGTAGTTCTGTCATCCCTGGCACAAAGTCACGCTGATACGGAGCGGCTGGCACTTGGCGCTGTGGTGGTGATGTCACTTGGGACACCCACGTCCCATACTGGAGTGCCTGGTTCAAGGCCCAGCTCCTCTACTTCTGATCCGTCTTCTTGCCACTATGCAACCTGAGAGGCAGCAGATGGTGGCTCAAGGACTTGGGTCCCTGCCACCCGTGTGAGAGACCCAGATGGAGCTGCTGGCTTAGCCCTGGCTGCTGCAGGCATTTGGGGAGTGAACTAGTGCGTGGAAGCTCTCTCTCTCTCTCTGTCTCTCTTTCTGGCTGACTCTCTGTATCTCCATGCATTTCAAATAAAATAAGAATATTTAATTTTTATTTTTTAAAACTGGCCAATGCTAATGGAGCAGAAGAGCCCATGACCATGGCAGTAGAAGCAATCTGTGCCCTTTTGGAAGGCACGGCTGCTTGGGCAAGGGGTTGCTTGAGCAAAATTGTGTTAGTTGCATCATTCTTTTAGCCAGTGTCTATGCCTGCTTTACAATGGTCTCTGACCAGAGATTCTAAGAAACTATCGCTCTCTGCCTCAACCCCATAGAAATTAGAGATTAAGCTTAAAGATTATGGCCTCAACTTGACTGTGAAGAAATACAAGTAATGAGAGTGAGGGCTTGGCTGGCGCCGCGGCTCACTAGGCTAATCCTCTGCCTGTGGTGCCAGCGGCACACCGGGTTCTAGTCCTGGTTGGGGTGTCAGGTTCTGTCCCGGTTGCCCCTCTTCCTGTCCAGCTCTCTGCTGTGGCCCGGGAGGGCAGTGGAGGATGGCCCAAGTGCTTGGGCCCTGCACCCACATGGAAGACCAGGAGAAGCACCTGGCTTCTGGCTTCAGATGGGCGCAGTGCGCTGGCCACTTGGGGGGTGAACCAATGGAAAAAGGAAGACCTTTCTCTCTGTCTCTCTGTGTTTTTCTCTCTCACTAACTCTGCCTGTCAAAAAAAAAAAAAAAAAAAAAAAAAAAGAGAGAGAGAGAGAGTGAGGGCTTAAGGGCAGTGTTACCCCCTCAAGATTTAAAGGGCTCCATGCAGCCTTCCTCTCCTACTACCTTGTGTGAATTAGCTCATTGTGAGTTAGGTGCTGTTGGTTTTGGCCTGAAGATAGTCACAGAGCTGGTTAAATATTAATCATGTGGCCAGAACTCTCTGCCTCCCAAGTCAAGGCTCTTAACTTTTTTTTTTTTTAAGATTTATTTATTTATTTGAAAGTCAGAGTTACACACAGAGAGAAGGAGAGGCAGAGAGAGAGGTCTTCCATCTAATGGTTCACTCCCCAATTGGCTGCAACAGCCGGAGCTGCACCGATCTGAAACCAGGAACCAGGAGCTTCTCTGGGTCTCGCACACGGGGGCAGGGGCCCAAGGACTTGGCCCATCTTCTACTGCTTTCCCAGGCCATAGCAGAGATCAGAAGTGGAGCAGCCAGGACTTGAACTTGTGCCCATTTGGGATGCCGGCACTGCAGGCAGTGGCTTTACCTGCTTTGCCACAGCGCTGGCCCCAGGGCTCTTTATTCTGTTAAGTGGAAGCTTTTCATTTGCTGCTGTTTTATTAAAAATAATGACACATCGCAGGGAATAAGGTGGAGACCCCAGTGTTGGGCCTACCTAGCGCTCAGAGCGGAAGGAAGGCATAGCTTCTCTCGAGGGGACTGCGATGGCGGGTGCGCGCCTGGAGGAGAAGGGATTCTTGTGAGCACGGTGTGTTTGTCTCCTTTCAGATTTCTTGGGTCGAACAGAGATCCGTGTGGCTGACATCAAGAAAGACCAGGGCTCCAAGGGGCCAGTTACAAAGTGTCTCCTGCTGCACGAAGTCCCCACAGGAGAGATTGTGGTCCGCTTGGACTTACAGTTGTTTGACGAGCCGTAGGGAGCGGCTCAGCACGTGCTCGGAGGAGCTCCCACCTGAGGCAGCAGGTGCTGTCTGGCATTTGTGTTCCTTCGCTCGGCATCCCTGGCGTTCAGCCACAGGGCAATGGGACAGCAAAGACAGGCCCCCAGAGCGTCTAGGAATCCTTGACAATCCTGCCCCACCCTCCAAACAACCTCTCCTGTTATGAAACGAGACTGTGTCTTCCTTGCCCCTCACCGCAGGTGTCATCATGGTTTCTAGGGTCTCTGAACTCCCAGAGCCCCAAGCTAACCTCAGCTGGGAGTCTGGCTCCGCCCAGGCTCTGGGCCCGGGTCTGATGATTAGAAATCAGATTTCTACATGCAGTGTCTGTATTTTTTTTTTTTTTTTTGAGAACTCATGTAATCCTCTTATTTCTTACCTTCCTGCTGCCCCCAGTAGACTCCTTGGCCTGCAATGCCCAGTCCCCGGATGTTTAGAAACAATCGTGATGGTCCTGTCATTGCTTTGAAATCCCATTGCCCACCAGGGAGATGCTAAGATGGTCTCACGGGAGCTGACCCACCCATGGGAGATGCCAACATGTGTGCTGTGACCGCCGTTCCATTCCCCTCTAGGCCTTGTCTGAGACGTATGTCAATGAAACACACTGTTGCGTACCATCAGGTGACTCAGTTCTGGTCTGCGGCACGCTCGGAAGATGACCGAGGGAGCGTGTCCTCCACAGAGCTGCACTCTGCTGGATCACATCCTGTGGGCCACCGGGAGGACAGCTTGACCGTGTCACCAAGTCCTGGTTACTAGACATTGGTGGAGAGGGCTCTCAGGGCTCCCAGGGCCCTGTGCTGTGTCCTGACAACAGTCGCTGCTGAGAGCCAGCTCTTAGGCCTATTCTGTGCTTGAATGTACTGGATTCCGGTCGTCATGGGAAATTGCAGTGGCCGTATTTGGCATATTCCCCCCAAAAAGACATGTTCTAGATCTCCCAGGTGTGTGACAAGAGAAAATGACAAGCAGGAGGCAGGGTGGAGAGGCACGAGGGAAATCCACTACGTGATGAGGGAAAGCCCATAGGAGCATGCAGGCCCACAAGCCCAAGGATGTGGGTCTCACACACGTCAATGTCTGAGTTACAGGGAGACACGTGCATGCCTGTTGCCAGGGTCAGGAGGGAATGGCCATGGGCCAAGCTGTTTGGTTTGAGTTCTTAGATTCTTTCCCCTTAAATGCCAGGAGTTAGGCCGGTTAATTAGAATAATAACGGTTTGCTAATGAAAAGCGTGGGCCATATTTTGTTCGCATGTTAATGTTCTCATAATCCCAGTTGGTTGTGGCCATGAGGTTTTTCTCTGCATGTCCTCTTGGTGCGAGTCTGGCTTTCCTGCGTTAGGTGGTATTCTCTTTGATTGCTGGTCCTTAGAATTTAATTAGGGGTGTAGAAGTGCTTTCTAAATGATAGCGTCAGCATAGTGGTAGAGTACCCGTTTTGCTGGGAACTGTAGTGTTTTTAATTTTCCATGAGAACCTGTCATGTTTCAATCAATTTTTAAAAAGTGTGTGTTGGAAAGGACAACAAAGTTTACATTTCATACTTTTAAGAAACACTTTATTATTTATTTATTGAAAATAGTGTAGAATTTTGTATTGAGGACAACAGACATAAGTATTTTTTGAAACAAGCCGATATATCCTTTAGTTAGAACTTTTAACTGAATATGTTATAGACCAAGTTTAACTTCAGGCATGATTTGTTTACCATTTCCCAGCAGAAAACATGGTAAAATACTTTAAGTTTATATTTTTTGATGTTGTTAAGAAACTTTCAAATTAAATCTATAAATAGATGTGCAACTCATGCCTTCCTAATTCTGTAACCAATAGAGTTTGTTCAGTGCAGTTCCGAAGGACATGTTATTATGGTAGGAAGAAGTATTAAATGTATAAATGGGGTAGTGTGGAGCCACCATTCCAGCCCCTTTCTTTCTGTTCTCTCTTTTCTTCATGGACTTTATTTTCGTGTTAGTGTTGGACATCACTGTTCGAGTTGGCAGGATGTGTTGTGTACAACAACACAGGGAACCTCTTAGGTCACAGGTCCTACCCCAGAGTCCCATCCTTTGGGATTAATGTAGCATGAAAAAGCAATATGTGTGTCTTCTGCCCCAGGTGGCTTTACCAAGCGTCCTTGAGATGCCCCGTAGTGCGACAAGTTCTGCATTAGCGCCCTGGTGTGCGTTCGCTGGTGTCATTTGCAATGTGACTGACTGTACTTACGGATGAGCTGGACTGACCCCCAGATCCGGCTGTGACTCATGAGTCATGTCTGGGGTGGAGGGGAGTGGGTGGTTCCTGGAGTCTTAAGCCCTTGGACATCCATCCTTCACTGTGGCCTTTTTGATCATCTCGGCTACACTTCAGAGAGATGGAATGCCCCTTGCCAATGAGAAATATGCTTTCTAGATCTTCTTTTCCTCTAAATACAGGGTTTCTTTAGGTCATGCCTCCTTGCAAGTATTTTTCTTTTTTTGGGCCACACTGATAGCTCCCTGTATGCTCTGACCCAAGAAGAGGCTTTGCTGGTCACCTGGCTGTGCTGTGACCCTCAGGCATCCCAAGAACACCTGAGAGCCCTGAAGACAGGAGCCCTGGAGCCGGGCGTTCTTCCTAGACCAGCTTCCGTGAAGGGACCATCCACTTCCCGGTCTTTCTGGGGCAGAACTGAGATCTCCCCTGCCAGGTAGTTAGACAGCATCATCTCCTGGAATCAGGTCTTCTGTGACCACAGGAGCCTGAGGATGTGGTTAATTCAGACACAGGCCTGACCCGAGATGGGAAGAGGGCTGGAGCCCCCAGAAATGCTTGCGAAGCTGGAGCCAGGCTTCCCAGTCTGACCGTTTGCTGACGATGGAGCCCTGTCTTCTGATAGCACAGGCCCAAGCCCTGCTCTTGAGAGACATTAATGGAAGAGGCGCTATGGCTTTTCTGCTTTGCTTTTTGAATGCCCTTGGGCAGGATCTACATTTATGAAACTAACTGATTTCAGCTGGCTGAGTTGCCCTGGGTTTAACTGGGCGGAAGGGATCCCATCAGAAAGTGGGTGAGTTTACTGCTTGCAAGATGTCTGCTCCAGTGCCCCGTGCCAGAACCTCAGGTGTCCTCCCAGGGCGTGGCCCAGGAGGTCAGGGGAAGGCAGTACTAAAGCCCCCTGGGGGAAGATGCCTTCCAAGGCCAGGTAGGGGCTTGCTGGGGGCGAGTGGGAAGACCCTGAACCCTCCGGAGCTCAGATCAAGGCAGCAATGGACAAGGCGCTGCTGGTTGGGTTTCAGAGGTGGAGACCTTGGCATGTAGTTCAGAGCTTGCCAATACCTGGTAGGAGAAGAAAACGAACGTTCCGCCTCTACTACAAGTTGCTTTTCCTCGTTGGTTGGGCCTTCTTGATTCGTTTGAAGGACACTTGCTCAAGGAATTTCCATTGGAAACACAAAGGATGGCTTGAGTTGATTCTTTTATTCCCCCTTCCCTTTCAGGGTTGGAGATGTGCTCTGTGGCAGATGCCGGCCCGTCACAGGGGCGGCTGGTATACCCTAGGTGTGAGGGGGGTTGTGTCGGGCTTGCGCTTCGGGTGAGCGTGCAGTGGCTCTGCAGGACGTACTCGCATTACAAGTTGGAGAAAGGGAGGGGATGAGAACTTGTGTGGCTTCTAGGTGTCAGCTCTTTCGCTCATCCCAGGCTGAAGGGTAATAAGTAGCAACTCAGTGACGTCCTCAGTGTGGTGTGCATCTCGCTAGGGGGCGCTGGGCAAAACTAACACCTCCTTCTCTTTGCACCCTGGGGTCTGACGCACCTGCCAGGGACCTCCTGTCTTTCGCCAGGAACAACCCAGGCCAGCTGCCAAGACTCGCCTGGCAGTGCCCTGAGTTGCGTTTTGCAGGGACCACGCAGCATTAGATAAATACCGTTGCAAACCTTCTTCCTCCTCCTCTGCTCTAGAGCAGCCCAGGGAAACCCGGGTCTTGTGTTTCTCTCTGTTTCTGATCCGTTCGCTCACAGGGCCTGCCGAAGAGAGACCCTTCAGGGAAGGCTGGGTTAGGTGGGGCTTGGCGGGCCAGCCGGGGTTCTGGGACAGATCCAGGGACAGAAGCAGGCTGGTGGAGTGGCAGGGGCTTCCCTGGACCAGGCCTGACCTCGCTGCTCCAGGAAGCACCCTCCGCCGCTGCCTCCTGCAGGTGGACACATAGCTCCCTGGGGAGGATCTTTTTTCTTTCTAGCACCCTGTATTTGCCTGCCTGCCTGCCTGGGCCAATGCCATTGCCATAGGAAGTCAGGCCTGTGGTTGTCTGTGAGGCTGTACTCCCAAGGTGGTATCATAAAGCAGTCGAAGAATGGGCAGAAAGCAAGGCCGAGGGTCCAAAGAAAGCAAAACAGGCCACCCAGCGCCCCCTGCAGCCCTTCGGCTAACTTGCTTTTGCCGGCGTTAGACACCTGGGAGGCCACGTTCCCTGTGGCTTCCTCCTTTCTGGGGGCTCCTCAGAGCAGGCCGTTCCGGGGGGTGACGCAGCCTGGACCCCTTTGCAACCCTTGCTGTCCCCACACGCCAGCCATGGCATGATTCGGATGGCGATTTGATTCATCCCCGCTGTCCTTGTCCCCAGTGCGGTGGCCCCTAGAAGCGGGGAGGTGCCCCCAAGGTCTAAGTTGGTTGGTTCTGATGCGTCAGTGCCGCCTTGAGGGATTGTTTGAAGTCCTGGAGCACTCCTGACGTTGGGTATGACTCCAGGAAGGCGCTGGCTGGGCTGCAGCCCCCGCCCCAGCGTCTTTTCTGAGTGAGGTCCCCGTGCTCCATTGTACTTGGAAAGCAGTTGTTTATTTGAGCTGGAGTAAAGGAAAGTTCTAGAACTCCTGCTTCCTCACCTTGCATTGTATCAGATCCACGATCTGTGTTTAGGTCACCAGGCTCAGCACACCCTTCCATCTGTAGGAGGCAGAAAAGACTCCGTCCCTGCGGGGTATGGACAATGTCTTCCACCTGTAGGATAGCAGTGGCCACCAGTTCTCAGGGGCATCGGAACCCAGAGGCCAACACACCGTACAGTCTGGGCTGGGCTCTCCCAGGGATGTCATCAGTAGCCCGATAGTGCATCGCTTGTCCTGGGAACCCCCATGCTGGTCCTGGCTACCATCCAAGGGGCCGGGGGACAGCGGGAGGGGCCTGCCTCTGTGTCTTATAAGCCCAATTGTAGGTCTCATCTTAGGTCATTTAAATAATACCCAATGCTTTTAGAAATTCGTATCATTCTGCATTCGACTCTTCAGGCCTGTGTGGATCCATCTGTTCCTCCACTGGACGGCACTGCCTTTGTTCCGGCCCTGGGGGAGCCGGCTAACATCCCCCCGGGAGCAGCTTTGACCCTGCGTGCGGTTGTCGTATTTCAGGGTACATGTGCTCCCGGTGTAGGCCAGAGCGTGTTGTGAGCTGTGCTTCAACAGAGTTCCGTCCTGTTCTCTATTCCAGCGTATCTTGGTCCTGCCCCCCGACGAGTGTAAATATTTCAGTATTCAAAGCTCCCAGAGGAGACCTGTGTGTCCAGAAGTGGGCTTGTCGGGTCAGCCCTGAAAACAGTCAGCGTTTCTCTGCCGTCTCCTGAGACCCCAGCAGCAGCCCAGGCTGCTTTTCCTGCAGGAGTAGATTTGCACGTGGGGAAGTATCGTTCCGTGCATCTCAAGCTCTGTCCCTTCGCCCTTCTCCTCTTACACCCAGCTCTCCCGTTTCCTCCTACCATCTGCAGGGAGCGGCCCAGGGCCGGGCCAGTGGCTTGTTGCCTGGCCGCAGCCCAGGGGGCAGAGGGGACTTCCTGTCCCACAGGCAGGTCCCAAGCTGCTGGCTCCATCTACCGCCGCTCCGGGGCATTGCCCTGGTGAGAGTCAGAAGGCGCTTGCTGGTGGCTGAGCGCGCTGGAGATGGGGGCGGGAATGTGGGCGGGGCAGAGCTTGGCGCTGGCCCAGGCCTGGGAGGCGGGAAGCAGGAGTGGGAAGGAAGCTAGGATTAAGTGTGGGGCTGGAACCCAGTGCTCCTGGGGCACCTGGTGAGGTTGTGCTGGGGTTGGGGTGCCCCTGCCACCCAGACCCCGTTTCTAAATTGAAGGTGCCCCAACCCCCATTGCTGGGTGGGGCAAGGCTGGCTAGGGGAGGACCCCCCCTCCTACACCCGGCTCCTGGGGTTGGCTACCTGAGTCTCTCCAGGCCAACTTTGACCTCTGGAATCGGAGCTGGAGAGAACTTGCAGGTGGAATGCAGTGGCTCACGGTGTATGTGTGAGTGTGTGTGTTGTATGTGAGAACATGTGTGTTGTGTGTGTTTGTGTGACTATGTATGTTGTGTGTGTGTGTTGGCACCGGCAACAGGGGACAGAGGCCGAATGGACAGCAGATGGACGGGGAGGCACCAGCGATGCTGGCCCAACCCTCCCCTGGTCACACTCAGGGCCAAGTGTAAAACGGGAACGCGGGTCCCTTGTTCAAGACGATGAACTTCAAGGTGGCGGCAGCCCCTTTAGAGAGAGGGCCCTGTGTGAGCGTGCAGCTCGCCCACCCCGGCCCTGCCCGCTGCGCTGTCTGCAGGTTCTTACGGCAGGGGGTGGGGGGGTGGGGTGGGGGTGGGGCTTCGTCCTGTGGCTCTTTCCTTGGAAAGGTCTCCGGCAGGCAGGGAAGGGCGGGGTGGACCTGCTTCCCGGATGTCTGCTTGCTGTTTCCTAAAAGCACAAATGGACAGGACGAGGAGAGGTTAGGGCACCTGCGTGCCCGTGGCTGCAGAGGGGGCGGCAGGGCTGGGCTCCAGGCTTGTACACTGAAGGCACGGTGGCCCTGAGCCCTGCGCCAGTGAACCCCACTTTGAAACAAAGCCCTTTCTGTGGTTGCAGTCACCCGCTGGGGGGCTCCCCCCACCTTTGCTGTGAGGCTTCGGGAGGGACCTGGGAGCCCTCAGTGCCGCCTGCCCCGTGCCTGGACACTTGTCCCTCCTGCCACCCTCCCCGGGTGCCTGGGAGACAGCGGCTTCTGAGGGTGCAGCTCCCCAGCTGGGCTCCCCCCAGACGCATGGCTGTGACGCAGGGGGACGTTAGGAGACGGGATAGGACCTGCTGTGTCTAACCTCGCGTTCCAGACGCCCTGGCACGGCCCCACCCTAGCGTGCTCCTCTGCTTGTCCGCTCTGTTCTTTGCTGACTTCCACTTTCACTGGGCTGTAAGCTCCACAACTTGGGCGGTTCTGTTTGCTTCCCGCCCAAAGGTCTCCTTTCTACACCTTCAGAGCAATAACCCTTTCTGTGGCTCACGACCCTGTCCCTGATGGTAACGTTTGCCAAGTAAAAAATGTTGGCAGAAGTTCAGACAGAAGCTGCAAACCCACCTCCCATGGATTTGGCTGAGTCACCTGGAAGGCAGTGGCAAATCCTAGCTTTGTTTCCATGGGGCTTGCAACCTTCCAGACTGCAGAGAGTTCTGGAAGCATTCCCCAGAGGCGTTTAACTCAGGTGGAGTCCCCGTTGGTTTTAACGAATGGGCTTTGGGAGGTATGTTTTTATAAATCAACATCGTTAAAATGTCACTTCTTCCCTGGGACAGAGGGGAGTGTCTGGCAAGAGTGCTGTTGATGGTGTTCAGGTTGAGCCATGCCTTTAAAGCATACATCACCAGTAGCCCGAATACCTTTAAACTGTGAAACCAACCTCAGACCTTGTCCCTGTCGTCTGCCTCGTCCCCTTCTCTCGCGTTGCCTGTGTGGGTGGCGGGCTTGGTGACCATCACTCCCGTGGCACTGCCTTAGCTCCCTCGGTTTTGTGCCCTCACATGTAGAGCGGGTGCACCAGTGTGTAAACATGTGTATACAGACGAGGAACGGCAATGAAAATGTCCTGTGTATGATAATCAGCTCGCAGCCTACAGTTCTCTGCGTCTCTCGCAAACAATGTAGAACGTAGCCACATCACGTGGCATCAGAACAGCCATGATGTGGAAGAGACTATGTTGTTAAATGTTGCAAACACTAACACAGATTCTGTAGTCAACAAATATTTAACTTGTTATTGTAAAATGTGACTTGTCATTGAGAGATTATTTTTCTGTATGTATATGAGAGTATTTTAGGAATCTAATTTAAGTGCATACTACTATAGAAAAAAAAAAATCTAAACCTATTCCAGGAGTAGCAAATGCTCAATCAGATTACTTGGGTCCAACCCTACTAAATTTCTTATATTAAAAAAGAAACACTCTAAGTTGTATATGTTAGAAGTCTAAAGGAACCCCTCACCCCCACCCCCGCCCCCAGGGAAAGGGTGGTACCGCAGTAAACAGAAAGGCACCTGTTGGCCGTGGCCTTGGTGAGACCTCAGCATCGCAGACAGGTTTGTGCAGACGCTGTGCTCTGAGGGGCGCCCGTGTCAGGGACGAGGAGGAGTGGAGAGCTGGTTTCCATCAGGCCCACTTGCCACTGGAGCTTCCCTGGGTCCAGGCAGCCTGGTCAGGAAGGGGGGCTGCCCCGGCCACTGCTTGGAGAAGGCAGGGAGGCCGCCTGACTTCAGGGTCCCCCTCCTACTCCTCCTAGATACTAGGCATATCCCCCCAGTGCTGGCCCTGTCCACAGAGCATCCCCACCCTAAGAGTGTGTGGCTGAGCGGGTGCGAGGGTGAGGATGCACTTTATCCCCATGGAGACCCCAAGGGCGAGAGGCCTTCCTCCCTTTCCCATCCCTCTTCCCAGGGAACTTCTCAGAAGGCCGGGCTGCCTCGGGGGCACAGACTTTCTCTACTCCCCACCAAGGAAGTCCCTGGAGGTCACCCTAGGAGGGCTCCACAAAGCTCGCTGCAGGCTGGAATTGCTACCGGCATGCAAAGAGCTGCCTTCTGGGGTTTGAGGGCATTGCACAGCGGTCATGGCTGGTGGGAAGCTTAGGGCTGCTGGCTTGTGCGGCCACATTGTGGGTGAGCGCTGGGGTCTCAGCACTTCTTTCAACAGCTGCGTGTCTCAGTTCCCTTTGGATAGGACCGAAATTGAGGGGTGTTTGAGTGCAGGTGACTCCCTGGACTCCAGGGGTGGGAGAAGCTGGGATTTCTGGAAGCTTCCTGGAACCTATAAAGGCATACGGATAATCTGCCCATCACCTTGAGTGGCTGGTAACTGGCTGTACCCCCAAGGATGTAGCCGTTTAGATTCTGTGTCCAGGTGTAGTCTGGGAAGCAAGTACAACCAGCACGCCCTGGCCCACCCACCCTCCTAGGCCTTGACTCCCTTCCCCTCAGGACGCCCTCTCGGCAGGGATGCGAGTGGGGACAGCTCTGGTGGCTGGCAAACCCTCTCCATTAGCCTCTGCCTGTTTGGAAAAGGTGACCGGTCAGATCATGAGTACCTTGAGTTTGCGGCGACACATGGGCCGCACTGCTGGTGGCCTGTCGCTTCCCGCACAGCCCTGCCCGGGGTGGGGACGGAGCCACCCCTCGGCGCACGTCCTGCTGACTGTAATATACTTCTGTTGCCAAACGATGGAATGGTTCAGTTTTCCGTAAGAGGAAGACTTTGTCGTCTGCTGTGTAACGCGAATGCAGTTCTCAAAATTACTAGTTGCAATTATAAATTGTTCAATCATGTGTTTGTCTAAGGTTCCATGAAACAGGGCCAAAACACTAGGTTTCCTTTGTCAGTTTCAAAGAAGCCTAGGCTGGTTTTGCTGTTTGAGTGTCCGTGCGGCACCTCATGTGTGGAATGTTCAATTTTCCTGGTTTCAACCACGGCGACTCCGTTGGCCGGTTTTCCGTTCGATCAGTGGTGACATCAGTACATGCGGCGGTTCCTCTGTACCTTGAACCTGAAAAGAACGACCTGTCCAGAGCAACCCTCTCGGTCACTTTGACCTGTCCGGTTTAAACTCCTGGTTCATGCATGAGACGAGGAAAGCTACCTCTGCTCAGCGGGTTGTTCGGGATCCTTTGTGCCCCGCCTCGCCCTGAGCGCCCAGGGAGCCGAGAGCCCTGCCCCTGCGTGTCTCCTGCTCCTGCAGGTAAGGGCGCACTCAGGCAAGGAGAATCAAGCAGCAACAAACCTCCAAGACCAACCGGCTGCCCTTCCGAGGCTTCCCGCCGCCTTCAGACACACGTCGGCCCCACTCGAGCCGAGGATTTCCGAGAAACGGACTTCCGCATGGGCAACCCGAGAAAGGCTGCGGGCTGGGCGGCCGCGAGAGGCCGAGCTCCTATCCCCTTCAGAGGGGCTGCGCTGGACTTCTGCCGAGAGGCGTCTCCTGCCAACAACCCTGTGTGTTCAGAACTTGGACTTCCAACCTGGGGCGCCGCCTGCCAGCCCAGCACCCGATCTCACTGGTACCTGAATCTCACCGTACTGTTTGTGTTTCTATTCTTTTGTTCCGAGTTCGAGGCAATTCTTCCATCTTTCATCCCTGATTTCAGAGACTATGAATAAATCCTGTAAGTTCTCTAGTTGGCTTGGACCCTGGTTGAACTGTTACAGGCCCTAAATGCAGCGTGTCTGCCTTTTCTAAGCCAGCAAGCCCCATCTCTGATAATCGTAAAGACCACGACTTAGGTCCTTTTTCGCTTGGTTTTAGAAGTTGTAAAAAGAAATCAGAGGTGGGCGTTTGGTGTAGTAGCTAACACGACACTTGAGCTGGCACCGCGTGCGGGGGTTAAGCCACTCGTTGCGACACTGGCAGCCCACATCACAGCTGTCCTGTTTCTGATCCAGCTCCCCACTGACGCGCCCACGAAGGACAGGCCCTGCCACCCACGTGGAAGACCCACATGGAGTTCCTGGCTCCTGGCTTTGGAGCAACCACTTGGGGAGTGAACCAGCAGATGGGAGATTTTCTCTCTCATCACTCTACCTTTCAAATAAATAATCTTAAAAAAAAAAAAAAAAAAACCTAAACCAAAAGGTCTTGTGTCCCATATTGGAGTGCACGGCTTTGCTGTTTGCTTCTCCGGCTTCCTGCCAATGTGCGCCCTGGAGCAGCGGCGATGGCTCAGGTACTTGGGTTCCTGCACCCACGTGGGAGACCTGGATTAAGTTTCCCGCTCTTAGCTTCAGCCTGGCCCAGCCCTGGCTGCTATGGGCATTTAGGGAGGGAACCAGCAGATGGAGCTGTTTCTCTCTCAAATAAACACATTTTCAAGATAAGCGTTATTAAAAACAAAATACTGAATTACCTTCCCAAACAGCACCTCTCTCTGAGCTGACCAGGTCTCCCTTGTACAGCCATGTGTGTGGAAGCAATCATGCTGAATGGCTATTTATGTGACCAGCATAATCAAGGCAATATTTTATTCTAGAATATTTACCTTCTTCTCATTAGAGAAGCAATGCTTGTCAATGTGGAATAAACCACCAAAAAAAAAAAAATCATCATCATCACTTAATGGAAATATTCTTCCACACAAAAATAAAGTCTAACATTTTGATGTTCAATTTAAAAAAAAAGATTTAATTACCTACGTGAAAGTCAGAGTTATACAGAGAGAGGAGAGGCAGAGAGAAAGAGACACAGAAGAGAGAGGTCGGTCTTCCGTCCGCTGGTTCACCCCCCAGTTGCCCAGTTGGCCGCAACGGCTGGAGCTGAGCCAATCTGAAGCCAGGAGCTTCATCTAGGTCTCCCACATGGGTGCAGGGTCCCAAGGACTTGGGCCATCTTCTGCTGCTTTCCCAGGCCACAGCAGAGAGCTGGACTGTAAGAGGAGCAGCCAGGAATCCAATCGGTGCACACATGGGATGCCGGCACTACAGGCGGTGGTCCCACCCACTACGCCACAGTGCTGGCCCCAATGTTGGTTTTTGGCATGTGTGTCCCCATTTGAAATATTAAGATCTATCTATTTATTCTAAAGGCAGAGTGGCAGAAAGAGAGGGAGAGACATCTTTATCTGCTGGTTCACTCCCTGAAGTGGCCACAACAGCCAAGGCTGGGCCAGGTTAAAACCAGCAGGAGCCTGAACTCCATTCTGGTCTCCCCCACGGGTGGCAGGGGCCCGAGTACTTGGGCCATTATTGACTTCTCAGGTACATTAGTAGAAGTTAGATCAGCCAGGACTCGAATCACCGCTCCAATACCGGATGCCTGCGTGAGTGGTGGCTGAACCCGCTGTGTCACGGTGCCGGCCCCTCGAAATACTCTTGTACCAGGAGTTGGCGCTGTGGCCTAACAGGTGAGGCCACTGCCTGTGGCACCGGCATCACTTATCGGTGTTGTTTCAGGTCTGGCTCCCTGCTAGTGGCCTGCAAGTTTTAAGTGTTTGGGCCCCTGCACCCACATGGGAGACCCAGATGAAGCTCCCGGCTTTGGCCTGGCTTACCCTTGGCCATTGTGGCCACTTGGAGAGTGAACAAGCAGATGGAAGACCTGTCTCTCCCTTTCAAAGTTTTTAAAATTGATTTGAGAGGTCTTCCATCCACTGGTTCACTCCCCAAATGGCTGCAATGGCTAGAACTGGGCCGATCTGAACCCAGGAGCCAGGAGCTTCTTCCAGGTCTCCGATGTGGGTGCAGGGGCCCCAAGCACTTGGGCCATCCCCTACTGCTTTCCCAGACACACTAACAGGGAGCTGGATAGGAAGTGGAGCAGCCAGGACTTTGCCTACTATGCCACAGCACCAACTCCATCAAATAAATACTTTTTCTAAAAAATTATTGTCCTAAATAGCTAACATGCACTCAGTATGTCCCATACTCAACGAGGCACCATTCAATTACTTTATACAAAGACTCCCACTTACCCTTGTCCTCTCTTAAACTGGCTGTTACAGATTCTTCCATGAACTCATTCCCAAGGTCTGCATAGTATCCTACTGCCTGGCCGAGTGCCAGCTTACCCACACTTATTTAAACGCCGTGGTCTTGATTGTCCCCTTCAGAATGCTGTCAAGTCACTGCCCCAACAGTGGCACTGAAGGCTCTGACAGCAACACCAGGGGCCCCCGGTGGCCTGTGCCCAGCCACCCTGTGTCCGTGGGAGCCCGAGGGAGGAGCTGACTCGCGGGTGCTGGAGGATGGTCAGGTTACAGAGGCGGCAGTGAGGCAGAGGGCAGGCGCCGGGAGAGGCTCACCACTTCCTCATGTTAGCCCCCCAGGGGTCAGCGTTTGCCCTGGCGGGCGCTCTGCCCTAACATCTCCTGTGGCTGCCCCAGTTCCCATCATCCTGGCTTCCTGGAGGGGCCGCTGAGAGACTGCACCCCTGAGGCTGGGGGCGGCCCAGGAAGGCGCACTCTTCCGCTCGCCAATCCTCCCGCAGTCAGGGCCTGTGGGGGAGGCTGGTTAACAAGTCCTCTAGCCAGCGCTCCTAGGCGAGTGAGGTCAATATGGGGATCCTGGCCCCTGAGTGGCGTGCTGGTTATCGCACTACGTCAAGGAAGCAGCCAGTGTCTGAGCCGGCGTGATGGCCAGGAAACCCTGGGCCAGGTGGAGGGCACACTGGCCCGACTGGGCTGGGCTACAGGGTGCAGCTGCGTGCCTCACTGCCCAGGGGGTCGTCCCAGCGTGGTCCTCTCCCCCCGCCCAACAGCAGCTCTGGGAAAGAACCAGCTGCCAGCCCTCTTGGAGAGCGACCAGGGAGTGGGTGCCCAAAGCTGCTGCCTGGGGAACTTGATTTCTCTGGCAGCATCTCAAGTCAGGGTGGGAGGGGCACAGGACGTGCCTAAGATTCCTCTGCCCCCAGCTTCATCAGGACAGGACGCAGCGTGAGTGACAGTGGACCAGCGTGCCACGGCCTGACCCCTGACCCTGACCCAGCAGCTTGAGGCCTGCGAACCTGGGCATTCTCGTGCTCTCCCGTGTGAAGGCGGTGATGCGGTGGGCGGTCACAAGGCTGTCGCAAAGCCTACCGGAGATGAAGGCGGAGAGCAGCCGACTGGCAGCTGTGTTAGGTCAGGGTCAAGGGCGTGTCAGCGAGAGCAGGCAGGGCAAGAGCCGCCCGGTGGTCCCCAGGGATGCGGAGTTGCGCCCGCCCTAAGGCCCAGCTGCACTTTGTTGAGGGAGCGGGTGCAGCATGCGTGTTTACCCAATTCCCAAGAATAACCCGCACTGACCCACTCTGCGGCCAACAGGACCTGCACACCAGGGGCTACTGGAAGACAGACACAGACCAAGGCCCCGGGCTCCGCGCAGACGGTCAGCGACACGGGCTGTTCAGGAAGCGCTTTATTGTTGCTCCAAGCGCCAGGGTTTCCACCGACAGAAAACCACGGCTCACATAATCTCCCGCATGGCCTTGCTCAGCTTCTGAATCTTGGTTTTTGCAGACATATCGACGTACTTCTCTCCAATGCGGACAATCATCCCACCCATGATCGACGGGTCCGTCTAGGGGAGGAAACACGTCAGAGTATGACAGTGCACGGCCTTGGCTCAGCAGCCACGCGGGCAGGCGAGAGAGTGCTAAGCACACAGCACAACCGCTTCTGGAGAAGGCCAGCGCGAAGCTGCCCGGAAGCAGGTCGTCTACACTGACAACTAAGTTAACATTCATTCTTCAGAATCTGATTTAATGTTCGCTACACTCTGGCCTCAGAATCAGCCCTTGCAGCATTCAGATCCGGCTAAAAAGCCCATGAGTTTCTCAGGCTTGGAAAGCCAAGACACTGTGGCAAAAAACAAACAAACAAAAAAACCAAAAAACCAACCTAAATGAAAGATCTCTGTGAGTGAGATCCCAGTGAAAACAAGGGGCCATCAAAGAAGGGGTACCTTTCTCTGAAGGGAGAACTTCCACTTTGACTATGGCCTTGTCTGTGGTCGGAGTTTGTGCACTCAAGAGGCTTCCAGAGCCTTGGCAGCTCATGACAAGAGCCTCGGGTGATTACTGACATCATAAATAAGAGTGTCAATTGCTAAATCAACAACAGGAGTCGCTGTGCACCTACTCCCCATGTAGGATCTCTGTCCTTAATGAGTTGCACTATGAGAATTAATGGTAAAACTACTACTCAAACAGTACTCTATACTTTGTGTGTCTGTGTGGGTGCAAACTGTTGAAATCTTTACTTAGTACAGAGTTGGTCTTCTGTGTAATTAAAAATGAATCTTAGTGAAGAATGGGATGGGAGAGCAGGAGGTGGGACGGGAGTGGGGGCGGAAGGGCGGGTATGGGGGAAGAACCGCTAGAATCCGAAAGCTGTACCTAGGAAATTTATATTTATTAAATAAAAGCTTTCTTTAAAAAATTGTTCTCTAAGACTCCCTCAAGCCATTTACGTCTCGAGTCACCTGGGAAACGTCCCAGACGGCGGACAACTGAAGACCTACCTTGACCTCCAGCTTCAGCACCTGGCCTTGGCTGAGGAAGCTCTTCAGGACCGTCTTCAGCTCGGAGAGAGTGGCTTCCTCTAGAGGCTGAAACGTGGGACAGCAGCCTTCAACCGAGGAAGGAGATGCGACGGGCACAGAGCCACGCCCGGCTCGCGAACCCCGTCTCACCCCGGCCCCGGGTGGGGACGCACACCCACTGCCCCTGTGCTGCTGGTCAGGTCAGAGGGGCCCTGCCTCCTGAGCACAGCCGGGCAACTCGGCTGCGGCACCAGTGCCCACGCACGCACTCCCGCCTGTCCCGAGAGGAGCCCCCGAGGCCGCCACGGCCTGCCGACGCACGTCTGCCTGCACTGGGGCCATGGCGCTCCTCCGGGCTCCCCGAGGGGATGACGCGCTGCTTAACCTGGCTCTAGTCTTCGGCTTCCCAGTCAGGTCCACGGCTCCCTGGCCCCCTGAAGCTCCGGCCCGCCGCCACCCTGCCGCGAGAACCGCTCGGGGAGACCCTGGGGCTGGCTCTGTCCTGCACGCTGCGTCCTCTCCGCTCAGCCCCGACGCTCGCTCCTGGTTGGTTAGCTGAGCACGGGAAAGGCTGCCCACGCCAGCAACTGATCTAACAGCGTCGTCAGCCAGGTGGTGGCGGGGAGTCGGTCGGGGCTCCATGAAAACGCGCTCCGCCTAGGCTTCGCCTCCTCCAGCCCAGGACCAGGGGCACTGGCACCCGAGTGCCTTTGTCAGGACAGCGACTGTATGCCCACACCACACAGGAACCGGCCGTCCGGGTGGCTGGGGACTTGCCTGAGGCCGCTCAGCGCGTGCACTTCCAAAGCCCGCGTCCTCAGTGACTGATTGGGTGTGCTTCCCCCCAAACCCCCGGAAGTTTACAGGGCTAACAGTTGGTTCTAAAAAGCTTCTGCAAAAAATAAGCCACCCTGGGCCACGCTGGAACCACGAGTCTAGATGAGGCGGGGCTGGGGACTCCAGGTAACCCCAGCACCTGCGCCGATGCTTATGCTGCAGGGGCGCCAGCAAGGAAACACGCAGCTAAGACCACAGAACTGTCTCTGGAGAGGAGACGGGGTGCAGCAAGGAATGCAGATATCGTGTGTCCCTGGTGGTCTAGTGGCTAGGATAGGGCTGCAGGCAGAGACAGAGAGGCCCGGGTCTGAATCCTGTCCCGCCTTGCGCAAGCCCGGGGCAAGCGACTCCGTTCCAGCGTCTGTAAAGTGAGGACAGTCACTCCCACCTCCCGCGGATCGTCTCGTGGTCACCAGTGAATTATGAAATGAGGCTCTACGACAAGTCGGCAACCTCACCGGGCTGTCCACTGATGCCTCCCACTCACCACCCAAAAGGACGAAGGACTAGGGACCGCTCAACAGGATAACTGAAACCCGGCAGGGAACAGCAGCCGCCGCGTCCTACTGCATCTGACACTCCTCACCCTGGGCCCGGCCCCAGCCCGCTGAGCGCGGCTGGGAAGACGCACACCAGCCCTTGGGAAGCAGGATCACGGAAGCCGATGCAGAATGAAGCTTCCCCGTGCCGATCATCACCATGCCCTTTCTCAACTTCCAGGTAAAGTTTTCCTTTTCTGCAACACGGTGACGCGCACGGCGTCAGGGCAAGCACTGTCACTTACAGACGCGGTGGTCACTGTGCAGGGGACTTCTCCACGGTGGACGCTCATCATGGTAGAAAAGGCGGAGATGACTCCCTGGGCATTGCGCAGGCGACCGTTCTCAGCAAGCAGATCTGCAGAAGTGAAGGCGTCTGGGTATCAGAGGTCGTCCGGAAGCAGTGCCCTCACTCCACAAGGAAGCTCAAGTCTGTGCCCAAACACCGCCTTCCAGGGCCTTGAACATCAATGGGCGCCTCTCGCCTGTGGCCGCGTGGGCGGCTGTTCTTGGCTGGGATCATCCTGCACCTGGGCAGGAAAATGGGGGCCAAAGCAAGAGGAAGAAGCTGCTGCAGCCGTCAGCTCTGGCTCTGCCGCCTCTGAGCAGCGGACGGCACGCACTGGGGACAAGAGGCCACGTGGGCACGGCTCTTCCTGGCCAGAACGGCCCAGCCTGGGGAGATCTGACGGAGCTGCACCTCGCTGGCCAGCTGGCGTCCTCATGCTGGTGACAGGAGCGTCACACTGGGCACCGAGAGCGGCGAGTACCAAGCACCCCGCCAACACAGACCAGGCGAGGCTGCTACCGTGAAAACCACGCAAAACTGTCCTGTCACAGACTCTGCTGGAATGGGGGAAAACAACGTTCCTACTTGTGTTACTGACCCCAGTGCTAGGCTGCAGAGCCCCAAGTCCACAGACTGCCCATGCTCAACAGTGATGGCATGAACGCCAACCAGAACCTGAACCCCGAGGTGGCCGCGGGGACCAGAAGAGCAACCCAAGGTGCACAAGAGAGGCAAACGTCCCCAACAGAGCCACCGGCCGCAGGCCTGCTCCCGTAGGGACCCCCGCTGTCCTCCAGGGGCTGAAACTTCCGCCTGGACCGTCAGACAGCTGCTCCCCGGGGCCGGGCACACAGGTCGCCCAGTGAGCCCTGGAGCCCCGGGCCGAGGGACCACGTTCCCCGCAGCTACGCCCTACGGGCCCCGCTGAGAAGCCTCAGTACTCACTCATGAGGTTGGCCGTGAGGGGAGAAAACCTCTCTTTTGCTGTGATGTCATTCAGGCTCTTCATCTTGACTGCACGCTTGACATACGGATTCAGAATAGAAGCCGCCAATTTGGGTTCCTTCAGCAGTTGCTACAAGTACCACACAAACATTTCTGTAAATTCTTTACGGCACACACAAGCCCAGCGGCCACACACACACACACACCTTCCTATGAATTGAGAAAACTAGCACTTCTGTGTAACTTTCAAGTAAATAGATCTTTAAAAAAAAAAAAAACTAGCACTCTCAAAGCATAAGATAGAATTAAATCTCTACCTGCCTTTAAAAAACACTGCTCAATGATTTTATACAGAATAAAGATATTCTTTGAAAAAATGAAAACTATATGAAGCTTCTTCAATTCACTTGTACTTTTCAAGAAAGATTATAAAACTAAGCAGGCAAAAGCTTTAATTCACTGCGTATTTTAATGCACCCAATATAGGTAATACCCCAGATCTCCCAGTCATGCAAGTGCAGACCTAAAGATGAGGCTCTGTCTGCCAAGCAGGCCTCCTCTCTGTCCCCCCCACCCCGGGGGGGGGCTCTCTGACCCAGGCCGCCCTGATCTCGCCCTGCCCCTCCCACACTTCTAACCCCATTGCGAGACCGCTGACATTGGCCGCACAGCCTCATGAGTGTGGGAAGAAGAGGACGGAACTGCCATCTCCACGGGCAACCAGCTGTCCCCATTCTGTGCAATGTCCTCTGGGATCCTGCACGTCTGAACTTGGCCACCAAAGGCCTCCTTCCAGCTCCCTGCCCCTCAGCCTCGGGCCACAGATCCCAGGAATCAAGGGCGGCTGTTTCTGGTTAGGTATTGTTCATTCACCTGCCAGTTCCATCACCTGGCTAGCACGGCCGCCCAGGCTGCCAGCCAGAACCCTACGGTCTCTGATCCAGGCTGCCTGTCACAGGAGGCCATCCGAGGCCAAAACTCCCACTGGAATAGGCCCAGAGAAACAGCACTTCCCAAAGAGCGACAGCCATGTGCAAACAGTGTGACATCTGTGTAGCATTGCACGTCCCTTTCAGGGCCCCCAAAATGCTTTCACTGGTAGAGTCTCAAGGTCATGGCTCCCTTCAGTTCCTCCATGTTCTGACCGCGTCCAGGCCGCAGTGAGACCCCATTCCATCCCGACCAGCCTGGCTGTGCTCTCTGCTGGGACCACCACAGGGTTCAGAACGGACACAGCCGACAAGCAGTGGCCCGAGAACGCGAGCGTGAGACCCTGTCTGCCGCTGCCGCCCCGCCCCTCAAGAGCCTCCAACGTTAAGGCTGGCCTGGTGGCCCCGGGGGATCACGGGACTTGGCAGGGCTTGATCGGCAGGTAACTGGTAACAGAGGGAACGTGCCACCGTTACTGTTAGGACCTCCGTTGCAAAGAAAGCACACAAAGCAAAATGACTGCGAGGAACAAGTAGCACAGAACAGTAAAGCTCCCACGAGGTGCGGGCACAACACAGAATGGAAGCACCACTCACGCACTCGGCTAGCCTGCGGTCTTCTCCCGAACAATGAAAATAATGTTTTCTAAGTGCATGGATTAAAAATGCAAGGTGTTCTGAAAACACACAGTCACACGGCACAGGCTACCCATGGGACTGTGCCTCCCACCCCTCCCTTCCTGTCAGAGGGGAGGGGGCGAGGAGAAAGCACACGGAGGGGACACAGCGGAAGGGGCGGGAACTTGGGACGTCGGGGCAAAGCGAGCAGGGCTGCTCCCGCCTCAGCTGCACTGCAGCGTTCTGCTAACGCACCTTATGTAGTCTTCATGCTACCCAGCGCGGCACCGGCCCGCCCAGGGGCTGCCCTGCGGTTCCGTCGGCAAGGCGCCCACCACCTTCCCTCCTTTGGCTGCCCAGGAGGTGCGGCTGCCAACCTCCCCTCTCGTCTTGGGAACTTACTAATTAAAACCCAGGAAATGGCTTCATAAGGAAAACAAACTCTCAGACAAAACCAGCAGGCATTTTAAACACTGTTGTAGAAACTGCTGGATAGCAAGCTCGGATTCTTGAAGGTAACCTTTTAAATCCTTTCCTGAAACGGCACTTTTTCTTAAATCATCACCTTACATTTGAACTGATATCTCATCTCAGCCCGAAGCCAGGTTCCCTGTATTACTCTCCGTGTATGTATCTGCTTGTTCCTGTTATAGAAGTTTCAGAAGACAAGCCAACACTATCGCTAACAGCATGCGTAAGAGAATTAGTATTATTATTCTGTGACTCCTCTCCCAGAAGCTGTCTTGTCAGGACGCACAGCTAAGGCGCCACAGCAGAGAAGCGCGCAGGGCCACCGCGCACGCGCAGTGAGGGGAGGCGCTTACCGCTACTCTCAGCAGCTCCTTCTCCACCTGCTCCAGTTTGTTCTGCTTGGAGGCGGCCGAGTAGAGAGCGGTGGCATAGCGGCCTTCCACGCCGTACACCTGCACCGGCGGCTTGAGAGGGAGAGGGAAGCCGAGGGAGATCGGTGAACCGCGCTTCGTACAGACAACACGGCACGGACAGTCATCAGAGGGCTGTCCTAAGAACAAACCCTCACGCCGATTAGGGGTCTGGGTGTTTCCTTGGCCTGACCAGGCAAACGTTTAGGAAGCGCCCGCAGGCACCCCTTCCTCCCTGCGGCGGCGCTGCTGGGGCTCCGCTCCCGGCCCCCACGCCCCAGCGTTCAACGCCACAGAGCCCACGCTTGCACCATCTTCCCCAGGAGACTGCGGCCTTTTCCCTACACGCCACAGTCAATGCACAACTGCACGTGCCGCGTGGTGCTGCGTGGCTGCACAGGGGAAAGCCCAGGCAATAGTGAGGCCGAGCAAAGCACCGTCTCCTGGAGCCTCAGTTTCCCCTTTCACACAACGGCAAGGCCCGCCATGCTCCAGCGCCGCAGAGGGGCGGTGAGAACTTCTCACGTGGAGGGTGGCTCTGGGCGATCTGGTGCTTGGACGACGGCAGGGATGTGACAGTCACTTCTCACCCACTTAAAGGTTCCGCTGGCGTCTGTCACAGGGCAAGCACTCTCCCCCATCACTGTCCCCACCCTGCGCACGTGTGTCTTGTGAATCGCAACAACATGCAAAGGTTTACGTAGAAGCGACGCCACAGGCCACGGCCACGGCCTGACTGTAGGGCTAGAGCACGCACACCCTCCCACAGGCCCCTCCCCCACACAGGCGTGTGTATAAAGGACCTACCCTCACGAGCTTGGCAAACGGCCGGACCACAGATGTACTGAAGCTTCGCACCTTCAAAGCAAGAACGGAAACAGGTCAAAAGAAATGTCTTCGAGAATCTCTGTAATTCATTCAATCGCGACCTAAGGCTGCCTTTTAAACGATGTTTTTTGACATAGACTCCACGCGGGTGAGCTGTCTTTATTAGCCAGGAGTCCATGTTCTCACCGAGAATCACCCCCATGTTGTTTGGAAAATCGCTTTCCCAGTAATCTCCTAGTTTGCCAGGAACCGGCCGAGGCAAGCGCCCAGTACCAAGGAGAAAACGCTACCTTCCAGGAAGTTAACATCTAACATTTCTGGCATTTACGTCCACGCCCTCCCGAGCGGGATTTTAACACAAGGGGGAGGAATCCGTACGGAGCTGTAACAGATGGGCTGTCAGGAATCCACCTGCTGTCTAGCGGTTAGGGCGCGGGAGCGCAGCGGAGCGTGACCGCACAAGTTCAAGTCCCCAGCGATGCCCTCGCGGCTCTCAAGGGCCATAATCCACGCACCCGCAAAGGCCCGGACCGCCCTCCAGGGCTCTGAGCTCCAGAACGCACTGTGTTAAAACCGGCTGTAAGGGCAGGGTTTTCGGGCTTATGGGGAAATCATGGAAACTACAGCGGGGTCAAGTGCGCAAAGCATCGCGGTGAGACGGAAGCGCGGCTATTTGATTTATTTTTCCCAACGCCACTTTCTCGGTGACACTGGGGTTCGGGTCTTAACCCCATCACTCACTACCCAAGCAGCCCAGGACGCCCCATTTGAACTTCTCGTTCTCACGTCCTTTATAAACCTGGGAAATCCGCCTGAAGTCACCAGCGACCCCCGACGGTTTACGGAACAGCCCAGGCGGCGGAGCCCGGGGCTGGCCGCTGGCCCCTGGAGCCAGGGGTTTCCCGGGCTGTGCTCTGAGGACGCCGAGATGACCGCGCGCCCAGCACCGCGCCGGGCACCCCACAGGCGTCCCGGGGGACGCGAGCCGGGCCGCCCTCACTCGCCAGGCCCCACGACCTTGAACGGCGGCCTTGGTTTCCCAGCGGTGGCGCGCAGGCTCTGGTACAAGTTTCCCCAAGGAGGGCGTCCTCCCAGCTAGCTTCTCTCACCTGCCGGGTGAGCCCGCACACTGCGGGGGCCGCCATCTTCTCCCGGGCAGCTGTAGGTCAAATCCGAGCTGGAAGAGGAAGGGGCGCGAGGGCGCACGCGCGCGTCAGCGTACCCGCTAGGCTCTCTGGGAAGTGTAGGCGTAGGTCGCCACAGCGCGTGCGTAGCCACCTCCTTCAAGCTGGGAGTTGTAGTCCTTAGACGATGCAGTAAGGGTGACCTCCCAGGGGGAGGCTGCACCTGCGAAAGGAATCCTTGAGTTCTGGTCCCCGGGGTAAAAACGATGGCGTTTGTCGCATTTCACAGATACCTTTATGTCCGACTACTCATCCCTCCAGCTGCCTTCTGGAGCTTCGTTTTCCCTTTGGCGGGAGCAGGTTTAGCCGACAGCATCGCCGACCTCCTCTTGGGGGGCTTCCTTCGTGGCGCCTTCGGCAGAGGTGTCCTTGGAAGCAGGGCGGGTGCGTGCCGGGTACCGACAGCCTCGCGAAGCCGGGCTGCGGGGCTGCCGCCGCGGCTCTCCCCTGCCCACTGGAGCCGTTGGGACCTGCCATGGCCCCTCCTGGAAGCGTCTTTATACATTCATTAAAAAAATTTAAGATAAATTCCAAATAGTCCCCAGAACCGGCACAACCTGGTGAGATAGTCCAAGTACTTGGCTTCCGATGCGTGAGGCCAAGTCCTTTCCACAGGGTTAAACCAAGTCATGCTTTTCGCTCGCTAGTAGTGTCTGAAAATCCTTGTTCCCCTGCACAATGCAAATCATATTTCCAAATACATATTTAATTTAATTTAATTTTTTAAAAAGATTGATTTTATTTATTTGAAAGTCAGAATTACAGGAGGAGAGAGAGACAGAGACAGAGGGCGAGACATCTTCCATCCACTGGTTCACTCCCTAGGTGGCTGCAACAGCTAGGGCTGGGCCAGGCCAAAGCCAAGAACCAGGAGCTTCTTCCTGATCTCCCACGTGGGTGCAGAGGACCAGGGACTTGGGCCATCTTCTACTGCTCTCCCAGGCCATAGCAGGGAGCTGCACCGGAAGTGGAGCAACCGGGACTCGAGCCAACGGCCATATGGGATGCTGATGCTGCAAATGGTGGCTTTACCTGCTCCGCCACAGCGCCAGCCTCTTCCATATACATCTAATGGAAAGTCTGTTCATCATTTAACACGCTTTGTGGAGCATGGGTCCTGTGTGTCAGAAGCTGTACCATGCCTTGAAGACAGAGCAGGGTATGACAAAGGGCTTGTCTTCGTAGGCCTGGTATTCTCCGTGAAATTGAACGGCAGCACCTGTGTGGGTTTTTGGAGCTATACTGCGAATCCAAAGTGCTGAGGCCAAAAACGCTTGGAAAACAGGGTCGCTCTGGAAAAGATTGGGAATTCATCTGCAGGTGTGTCCCACGGGGACACGCCCTCTGTTTAGTTTGTATTCACCCCATTCCGCTCCACCCCCATGCACCTTCCCTATGCAGAGGTTTATGGGTATTTGAATTTTGGGATTTATTAGGTGGTTGCACATACATGGTGTCATTTTTATTTGGAGTGTCTGGCTAGCCCCAGGGTGTAGGTGGGCCTGGTACCCTCCCCCCCCCCCCCTTTAGAGCTCCTGTTTAGGTATTTAGGTAGCTCACCTAGGGAAGGCAACCAGGCCCCTGCGTCAAGTACAAGTTCTCTCCACTGCCTTGGGTAATTGCCTGAGTGAGTCTATCCAGACGTATTTCCGGGCTTGGGGTTTGGATGCCAGTGTGTTTCAGTGCTGTAGGCAAAGAGACTGGGTTAGTCAGCTTTCAATCGCTACAACAAAATACCTGCCGTAAGCTGCGTGTGAAGTTTCTCTTTGTTTTGTGTGCTTTTAAATACTACATCACTTACGTCACTTAGAAATGTTTGTTTTTTTATTTAAAGGTGAAGAGAGAATCAGAGAGAGACAGAGACAAAGAGAGATCTTCCATCTGCTGTTTCACACCTTAAATGCCCGTAATAGCTAGGGCTGGGCCAGGCTGAAGCCAGGAGCTGGGAGCTCAGTGTAGGTCTTTCGTGTGGGTGGCAGGGACCCAGGTTCATGACCATCACTGCTCCTCCAGGGTGTGTATTAACAGGAAGCTGGGATTGGAAGTGGAGCCAAGACTTGAGCGCGGGTACTCCAAAGTGGGTTGCAGGCGCCCTGGGTGGCGTCCCATCAACCATACCGAATGGCGGCTCCTGACTCGCAGCTTTAGACATTCCCAGTCTAAGGTCAGGCGGGTCCCTGAGGCCAGAGGCTTCATGGTGGAGGGTGTGCAGAGCTAGGGAGTAGAGAGAGGGACTGGGCCCAGTTCAGGCTTGTATCAGCAGCTTCTTCTCCAGAATGATCTTCCAAGGGCATGCCTCCAATCCCCTAAGGACACCTTCCACGTTGCCCACCTCCTAAAGCCGTACCTGGATGAAGTTTCCACCGGGTGAGTGCCGTTAACTTAGGACTTTGGGATTCCACCATCTGCAGGAGGTAGGAGCTGTATCCTATTCACACACAGGAACACAGAAGCAGCCCTAAGCCCAGTGCCGCCCCCACTCCACGTCAGACCTCCCTTCTGGCCTGTTCTGCATCGCTGGGCGCCCACTGAAATCCCACTGCAGGCAAATCACTACAATGGCGGGCCAGCGCCCATTGCCAGCGGAGCCCCTGCCGATCTGTCTGCCATTCGGGAACAGAGGCTCCAGGAGGAGAAAAGACTTTTGTTCCGGACGAGAAGGGACGGGACCTAGCGCTTTGCTGCTGGAGTGCTTTCCCCTTGGACAAACTCAAGTTGTTTAAAAATTAGCCATTTCAACAGCTGAGGTCCCTGGAGTCAGAGACTTGCCCAAGGCCGCAGGGCAGGGCTGCAGTGGGAGTAGAACTCAAACATCTAATCTTGACTTTGTTCTATGCTGACATTGAACTTGGAGCAAACATTGCTTACGGTGTTATCTTCCCTGCAGAGGCACCATTGGCTGTCATAGAAAGCAGCAACGTGGCATCGTGCCTTCCTGTGTTTAAAAAAAAAAGCAAGTGATTTTTCCCTCTGACCCAGACAGAGCCCTTCCAAAGCTTCCCCGAGTCAGAAATCTGGGCGAAGGTTAACGTGTGCAATGTTCACTGCACTCTATTTTTTAAAATGCTTTTAAAAGATTTATTAATTTATATTTATATTATTTATATTTATATTTATTAATTTATATTTAGCCCCACAACGACTGGGGCTGGGCTGGGCCCGGCTGAAGCTAGGAGCTTCTTCTGGGTCTCTCGCATGGGTGCACAGGCACAAGGACTTGGACCATCCTCTGCTGCTTTCCCAGGTGCATTAGCAGGGAGCTGGATCAGAAGTGGAGCAGCCGGGACCTGAGCCAGCGCCCACATGGGATGCCAGTGCTGCAGGCTGTGGCTTAACCTGCCGCAGCACAGTGCCGGCCCCTGCACTCACTTTAAAACAGAAAAAAAAAAAAATCAGAAATACACATCTGAGCAAAGAGGACAGCTTTGAAAATGGCGTATTCCATAGCCATGAAAATTTCCCAAACCTGTTAAGGACATGCCAAAAAAAAAAAAAAAAATTGATACCAGGAAATGATGAGAAACCACATTCTGTATCTCACTGCAGTGAGCCTGGGTCTTGATGGTGATCCTGCAGGGTCCTTTCACTGGTTAACCACGGCGGGGCCCCTTGCTGTACTTCCGGGCAACACTCGCACAGCCCGAGGGACTCCACGAAAGACACAGCCATTGGACCAGGCAGCCTCCAAGGTTCCTTTCAAAGATTACCTTTGGACTCGACCCTGCCAGCTTGGAGGACGTCTCTGTAGCTGTGCAGAACCCATAGTTAGATTCTGCGTCTCCTGGTTTCCCCTACACATTTTATTTCCCTGAAGGGACCTGGGATATGTTGCGTTGTTGACATATTTGTTTATCTGGGAGTAAGTCATACTTCAACTCTTTCTTTTCTGAGTTTAAGGACCGTACCTGAATCCTTTCTGGCAGATCCGACCTGCTGCTGCCTTGGGGCTGCAAACCCATAGCCCTGACTCGGGGCAGCCCTCTACGTGTAATGTACCTTTCTGTTTGAACCCCAAGAACAGGAAAATGACCTTGGCTGCGTTCAACAAGGCTCTGTGGTACTTCCAGGTGATGGGGCTGCGGGGCAGTCCGTCTGGGCCCCTGGGGCAAACCCAGGAGACCTTGAGCAAGAAAGAGCATTGGTGGAAATAGCCAACGGGGCAGCTGCTGTGGCTCCTCTTATTTTAAACTGCTCTGCCTTAGGATGGATTTGGTGCAGCTGCTACAGAAGAAAACAAATAAAACACACACAAATGGCGTGTTTTTCTTTTCTTTTCTTTTCTTTTTTTTTTGTCTTTGGCGAAAAGCTTCATCAGGAGGTTCCCAGCACAGACCTCCATGATCTGGAAGGCGATAGAGGGAGGGCTCGTCCTTGAAGCTGCCACCTGCTTGGCGCTCAAGGTCACCCGCTCGCGGTCAGCTTCGTGGCGCTATCATCTCGACGCTAGGGGGCGCCCTCGCCTCACGTTGTAACCTCAGCCTCTGGCGTCAGGATCCATTTCTTTCTAGAGCTTTCCCCGTCCGAGAGGCGGTGTAGGTGCTCACGTAGGCGGGTACCGATCCGAGTAGGGTGAGACTGACAAACAAAAGGGATCCGCGGGAGCGTTGAATGCAGGCTACTGGGCTCTTCGCCGGCAGGTGCAGGCGGCTCCTCCACGGCCGGGGGTGGGGTGGGGTGGGGTGGGGGCGATAATGCGGGCGGATAGGGAACGCCCCCGACCGGAGCTGCCGGGGCTCTGGGGCCTGGGTGCCGCCCAGCTGTCCCGTCCACGTGGAGAATGCTGATGGTCACTTTGCCTCTGCAGCAGTCACACAGTGCTGGCCGGGAGTCACCGTGACGTCCTTGAGCTGAGAGCCCTCTCCAGGTCGCCGGACTGCGGAGCCAGGGTGAAGGCAAACGTGGATGGGTCTTCCGGGAGGGCTGCTCAGGGTTTCCGTCTTCTGCTTCCTGGGCGCTGGCTCAGAACGCATCCCAGAGCTCCCTGGTGCCTTCCTGGAAGCGGGCAGTGGTCACTGTCAACACTGGGCCCCCTTGGGGGAGCCTGCCAGCTGGGGGGGTCAGGGGTCAGGAACCACAGCCAGGTGGGTCCGGAGCCGGTGGCCTCACCTGGCGGCTGCCAAGCGGAGGCTGCCTGTGGTTCCCCAAGGGCCAGCAATTGGGCGGATTAGGTAAACAACCAAGCCTTGACCGTGATCTGATGTTTTTTTAAAAAAAGGTATTCATGTTGGTGCTAGCACGAATGTGAGAGTGGCTGAGGCTTTGGGGGAGTTTGGTATGAGAAAGGAACTTGTATAGTTAGAAAAATAAAAAGGGAATGATACAGTCTCCCAGCTCCCCTACACAATGATTTAGCTGTGGTTCAAGGGAAAGTAAGAGGACAAGGAACACGTCCAAGGTGCAGGGACCCGCTGGGGCAGTGGGGCCAGCCTAGGGCCCCGCGGTGGGGTGCACCCCCCCCCAAGACACTATTAATGAAACCTGGCAGCCCAGCGATGATTTTATTTTTGTCCCTACAGCAGCTCCCAGAGGGCTGGCTTTGCGGGTCCTGGTCCATGAGGTTGGGATAATGGAATTCAGTACACAGAAAGTGAAGAGAGAGAGAGACAGAGAGAGGCCAGGGTTACTGCTGCCCCCACGGAGCAGACAGCCTGGGAAGGGCCTTGCAAGGTGACGGCAGAATATAGGAGGCTTCTACTACCCAGGCCTTGGAGCCGGCCCCAGCGTCTGTGGCCGGTGAATGAGTGAACCTGTGAGCTTGCCAACGCTCTTTGGTCTGAACGTGGTGGTGAGTACCCATGCCTTTCACTGGTACCTCCTGGGGCGGGACCCGGCTGCCAACATACTTTCATGGGTTCTCGGCTCTGTGGATGGGGTCGCAAGGCTGGACCCAAGCACTGGTTTGAATTTGTAGGCCACAAGGGGCTTTGACTAGGGAAAGCAAAGACCATCTATGCTATGCGGCCTGACCTGGCACAGGGGGCCGTGCCTTCTTTTACCCGTTCTTCACGCAGGCCTGAATTCACTAAACAAATATCCGCTTGCTGGTAGGGGTCGCGGCCGTGCTGTGGGGAGGAAGAAAGCGACCGAGACTGACCCTGCCTCCAGGGAGCTGCACCTGTGCCCTCGGAATCAGTTTTCACATGTTCAGGTCCCCTTTCTTCTGTTCCGCATTCGAGGAGAAACTGGTATGGGCGTTAGTTCAATATCCAACTAAATAGTGCCTGATTTCTTTTCTGATTTATTACATTTATTTGAAAGGCAGAGTTGGAGAAACAGAGGGAGAGAGAGATTGATCTTCCATCTGCTGGTTCACTCCCCAAATGGCTGCGACAGCTGCGTCTGGGCCAGGAGCTGGGTCTCCCAGATGCATTAATTACAGCAATGAGAGAGAGAGAGAGAGAGAGAGAGAGAGAGAGAGAGAGAGAAATGACAATTTGTCATTCTGGCTGGTGGAGCAGCCCTGTGTGGATCTCAGAGTGGTGACCCATCGGAAACGAACTTGGTCCTGTCTCAGTGATCCTGGATCCAGTCGGTCCACTTGCGACCAGAAAGTGGAAACCGAGTGATTTGTGACAGCACTGCTCACCTGGAATCCACAGAGTTTGCGGTAATCCAGTTTTTTTTTTTATTTGACAGGTAGAGTTATAGACAGTGAGAGAGAGACAGAGAGAAAGGTCTTCCTTCCGTTGCTTCACTCCCCAAATGGCCACCACAGCCGGCACTGCGCCAATCCGAAGCCAGGAACCAGGTGCTTCCTCCTGGTCTCCCAGGCGGGTGCAGGGCCCAAGCACTTGGGCCATCCTCCACTGCCCTTCCGGGCCACAGCAGAGAGCTGGACTGGAAGAGGGGCAACCGGGACTAGAACCCGGAGCCCATATGGGACGCTGATGCCGCAGGCGGAGGATTAACCAAGTGAGCCACGGTGCTGGCCCTCCAGTTTTGCTTTTTTCTTTCCTTTTTGTATTCCAATCCAAAGTTTTCTTGAGAATGCTATTTTTTTAAGCTGATTACTTTAAAAATTTTAAACGTTTCACCTATTTGAAAGATAGAGTGACAGAGACAGACAGCTGGAGCGAGCTCTTCCACCTGCTGGGGTTAGGCCAAGTGGAAGCCAGGAACGTGGAACTCAATCCAGCCCTCCCACGTGGGTAGCAAGGACCCAAGTACCTGAGCCACTACCTGCTGCTTCCAGGGTTCACATCAATTAGAAGTTGGATTGGAGGTGAAGTGGGACTCTCTGATAGGACTTTGGACACCCCAAGGGTCATTTTTTTTTTTGACAGGCAGAGTGGACAGTGAGAGAGAGAGACAGAGAGAAAGGTCTTCCTTTTGCCGTTGGTTCACCCTCCAATGGCCGCCGCGGCTGGTGCGCTGCGGCTGGTGTACTGCGCTGATCCGAAGGCAGGAGCCAGGTGCTTCCTCCTGGTCTCCCATGGGGTGCAGGGCCCAAGGACTTGGGCCATCCTCCATTGCACTCCCTGGCCACAGCAGAGAGCTGGCCTGGAAGAGGGGCAACGGGACAGAATCCGGTGTGCTGGCGCCGCAGGTGGAGGATTAGCCTAGTGAGCCACGGCGCCGGCCTCCAAGGGTCATCTTAACCGCTGTACCAAATGTCCCATTCACTCCCCCAGAGAATATTCTAGTGGTCTTTTGTGGGCTGTCAATCCTGGCTGCTAATTGAAATCACCTGTGGGACTTAAACACCTACGGACGTCTACTAAAGACGTGAGAATTAGAGGTTCCAGGTACATTTTAGTTTCAGTTAATTATCAAACTCGATTGTTCAAAGATTGACTCGAGATTAAACAAATCACAGCTGGAATACTACATTGCCATATGGAATGGTGGAGAGGAAGAAATTGTTGACCTGAGGAGGCCTTGCTAAGTGAGAACAAATAAAGCAGGCTCGTAAAAGCTTCTTCGGGGTATACCGTGATGGTGTTTTTGTAAGAAAACCACACGTAACCCGCCAAGGGGCAGAAGGAGCCTCACAGACCACTGACTGCATTGAACTGTGATTTCGCTTTGCTGTTTCATCCTTGCTGCTTTTGTGTGCTTTCTCAGTTTTTTTTTTTAAAGATTTATTTATTTGAAAATCAGAGTTACAGAGAGAGAGAGAGAGAGAAAGAGAGAGATCTTACATCTGCTGGTTCACTCCTGAGATGGTCGCAATGTCCGGAGCTGCGCCGATATGAAGCCAGGAGCTTCCTCCGGGTCTCCCATGTGGGTGCAGGGGCCCAAGGACTTGGCCCATCTTCTGCTGCTTTCCCAGGCCACAGCAGAGAGCTGGATCGGAAGTGGAGCAGCAGGGACTAGAACCTGCGCCCATATAGGATGCCGGCACTGAAGGCGGCGGCTCTACCCGCTACGCCACAGCGCTGGCCCCTGTTTTCTAAGTCTTAAGCACCAATCTCTCACTGGTTTTTTCCTGAGGAAAAATTCCCTGGGGTAAATGTTAAGTTTCCCCTTCAGGGGTGAGGAGGAGGAGGCACAAAGAGGCTATGTGCACCAGGTTCCCCCATGATTTGTACTTCACTTGTGAACAGTTGTTCGTGAACTTGATTTAGTGTTTTCCCCTATTCATGAAGACAAAAGGGACTCATGCCCTCGTCCTGGGCCCAGCACAGCATCTCAGAGCCTAGGAAGTGAGCTTTCTCTGCCCAGAGCTGCGGTTCACAGGAGAGGCGGAGTGAGGGGCTGCTTGGAAAGCAGAGTCCTGCCCCGGAGGCTCCCGGGAACCAGTGCTCTGCAGCCAACGGGGCCTGGGGATGTCCCAGGGGGAACAGGTGCCGCAGAGACCCCGGCAAGAACAGCGCCGGCGCCGAGATGCCGGGTGCAGCCGCTGCTTGGGCTAACGTTGCAGACGTGGGGTCCTGGTTTGTGGAGTGCACAGTGGACCTGGGCTCACGTGGCTCGACTTGCCGGCTTCCCAGAGAGGGGCCCACCCCTGAGTGGGTCAACTGAGGCAGCCCCCTGCCCTCCTTTCCCAAGAGAGCCAGGCAACAGCAGCCGCTGCTATGAACCACCCGGAGTGGCGCTTCCTATCACTTCTTTTTCAAAAAGATTCATTTATTTAAAAGAGCGACCTTTCATCTGCTGGTTCACCCTCCAGATGGCTGCAATGGCTCGGGCCGGGCCAGGCGAAAGCCAGGAGCCTGGACCTCTGTCTAGGTCTCTGAGGTGGGTGGCAGGGACCCCAGTACTTTCTTTCCTAGGTGCATCAGCAGGGAGCTGGATCAAAAGTGGAGCAGCTGGGATGTGCACTGGCGCTCATGTGGGATGCTGGCATCCGGGTGGTGGCTTAATGTACTGTGACACAATGTCAGTCCCTTATTTGCTCTTTTTTTAAATTAATTTATTTCCAAGAGTTACATATACACACACACACACAGAGCACACACTTAACATTCACTGGTTCATTCCCAGATGGCCAGGCCAAAGCCAGGAGCCAGGAGCTTCTTCTGGGTCTCTCACTTGAATGGCAGAGGCCTAAACACTTGGGCTGGCCTCTGTTGCTTTCCCAGGTGCATTAGCAGGGAGCCGATTGGAAGTGCAGCAGCTGGGACTCGAACTGGCACCCATATGGAATGCCCATGCCATAGGCCGTGGCTTTACTGTGTTGGCTCTTCATTTGCCCTTTAATCTTCTCAAAAACCTGTATAAGTGACAGCTGGAGTCCCGGCTGCTCCACTGCTGATCCAGCTCCCTGCTAATTCACCTGGGAAAGCAGCAGAAGATGGCCCAAGTGCTTGGACCCCAGCCACCCATGTGAGATACCCAGATGGAACTCCAGGCTTCTGGCTTTGACCTGGTCCAGTCCCAGCCATTGTGCCCATTTGGGTCTCTCTACCTTTCAATAAATCAATACATCTTAAAAGAAAGAAAGAAAAAAAGCCCTGTAGGTCGCCTATAGATAAAACCATGCCTATGTTACAGACGAGCTCACTGAGGTGTAGAGAGCTAATTATATGCCCAAGGTCACGTGGCCGGCCAGCCGGTTTGTCCCCAGAGACTCTGAGGTCGGCTGCGCTATTGCCCAGCTCCCAGCCTCACCCGCTCGCTTCGAGGCAGCCACCGTGGCCCACAGAGGTTGCCTTGCACCGACAGCAGCTTGGCACAGTCTGGTCTGACATGGGTGTTTAACGGCCACCAGTGAACACCGTGCCCGTGGTGCTCCCAGCTGGCACAAAGTTAGGAACACTTGATGATAAAATGCACAAAACACAGCCGGCAGCAAATTTTCAAATCCTGATGGAAGCCAGGCCACGTTCTCCCAAAACGTGCGTCCTTGGGGATAAAGCAGCAAGAGTGTCCCCTGGGATCTGGGCATGGGGCTGCCTGCCAAACTGGCCGGGAGGCGGGATCCCTGCCGTGGGCGTGGCTGGGATGGCCTCAGCCATGCTGGGTTGCGCTGGGATGACAGTGCAGACAGGAAAAGCTCTCCTCCACCTGACCTCAGGCATGCTCGCTCGCGCTCGCTCGCTCTAAGATTCTCGTATTTATTTGAAAGTTAAAATTACAGAGAGAGAGAGGGGGAGAGAGAGAGAATTTTCCATCCACTGCCTCACTCCCGAGATGGTCTCAGTGGCCAGGGCTGGACCAGGCTGAAGCCAGGAGCCTGGAGCTCCATCTGGGTCTCCCACGTGGATGCAGGGGCCCAAGGACCTGGCCAGCTTCAGTTGTCTTCCAGGTGCATTAGCAGGGAGATGGATTGAGCAGAGGCAGCCGGGACTTGAACCAGCACACACGGGGCCATGCGGGTGTTGCAGGCAGGAACGTAGCCCACTGCGTCACAGCACCAGCCCACGTTCTCTCTTTTAAAAATACTATAATGTGTCACTATCACTTCAATTTTTATTGCATTTTAATGTAATTTAAATTTAATTAATTAAGGATTTGCACTTTCTTGGGGATTAGTCTGTAATAATTGTACATGCGAATGGGGCGCCGCGTGACGGTTCCGGCTGTGTGCGGCGTGTCGTGGTCACGCCAGGTTAGTGGCAGTCCCTTCTCCTTGTCGGTTCTTTCTGATTGGAGCCCTGGGCAGGGACCCCGCTTCCAGTTTTCCACGAGATGTGTAGCAGGCGCTGGGGGCTGGGAACGCTCCGGCTTCCTCCTTCCGTCTAACTGGAGTTTGGTTCCCGGTGCCCACTCTCCCTGTATCCTCCCCCAACTGTTTATTTTATTGAGCTATAAGTCAGACACCATGAAACTCACATATTCCTTTACAGTGCAGATTTCAGTGAGCTTCTGAATAATCACAAGATGTGTTATCGTCCCTGTGTCAGCCAACACCCGACCCCTCCTCCCCACAGCCCCTGGTACATTCTTTAAGGGTTATGTCTTTACTCTTCAGTTAGTCTGCAAAGGATCATGGAACTCATAACTTTTCCTGGCACATAGTAGGTACTTAATAAATGTGTTTTCTTGGTGATAAACTTCTCAACTTTAACACTTTCCACTCTTTAATTTTTTTTTAATCTAAAAATTACATTAAATGAACAGAAGATGATAGCCCATGAGGGCATATCAAAAAGTTTCTGGAAAATTCATATTATAAAGAGCCATGCGTGGATTGCAAAAATATTTGCAACAAAATAAACTTTTTTTTCCATTTTCCATGAAGTTTGTGAAAGGTTATCACATAACTGGGATTTTTTTTTCCTCCTTCTCCCCTCTCTTCCCATTTAGGAAGGCCTGGACCCAGAAGTCTCATGTCAACTGCATAAATGCTTATTGGCCTCCCTTTAATTTTGGTTTGAGCTCAAGACTATCTCGAGCTTAGTTGTAACACGCACAAGGACAGCTCAGTGATATTTCCTATTTCTCCAGTTTGCACAAATCCAGTGAAGACATGGACAGCTCGGACTGTGGGAAAAGGAGAAGTGGGCTGAGACTCTGATACGCCGGCCTCGGAATCGCTTGTTTACAGAATCAGCAGCAGGGCCCGCAGAGGCTGGGCCGAGGCCTCGGCCGTGCCTGGGAAACGGGAAACTCAGTTCCCTGTTTTTGGCAGGACATGAAAGCTGAAGATTATCCCCTAATCCTGTGGCATTTTTTAATCCATGGAATGGGCTTTGGGGCTCAGTAATTTCCACTTAAAGTCACACACTCGCTCGGAGGCCCGAATGTTTCGGTTACTCCTGCCGAATCCATGGAGAGGCCACGGCCACCGTGAGTGTCGGCGATGGCTGACAGAGAAGACAGCTGGGCTCCTGTCCAGTGGTGACACACCCTCTCCACCCCGCACTGCCCCCTCTGTTAGAATGCAAATGGAGGAAGTTTGAAAGTCCACGCGGTATCAACAAATGGGAACCGCTGGTGTGTTCCGTGGCACATGCACGTGATGGAGTATTATTTGGCCAGCAAAAGGACCGAAGTACTGACACCTGCTGCTTCACAGATGAACCCCGAAGAGTGCCGAGTATCAGAAGCCGCACACAAAAGGCCACGCGTTGTGTGGCTCTGTTTATGTGACATGTCCACAAATGAGCAAATGCACAGAACCAGAACTCAGATTAGTGGTGGCAGGGGTTGGAGAGTGGGAAATGGGGTGACTGTGGAGAGAAGGAGAGGCAGAGAGAGAGAGAGAGAGAGAGAGTCTTCCATCCGCTGGTTCACTTCCCAGATGGCTGCAATGGCCAGAGCTGAGCAGATCTGAAGCCAGGAACCAGGAGCTTTCTCCAGGTCCCCCACATGGGTGTAGGGGCCCAAGGCTTTGGACCATCTTCCACTGCTTTCCCAGACCATAGCAGGAATCTGGATCGGAAGTGGGGTAGCTGGGTCTTAAACCAGCGCCCATATGGGATGTCGGCCCCGCAGGTGAAGGCTTTACCCTCTACGCCACGGTGCTGGCCCCGGGTGAGGTGTTTCTTTTCGGGGTGATGGAAGCTCTCTGGAGTTGCTGGTGGTGATTGTGCACTTCTGTGATGTGTTAGCCAACACAGAAGCATACTCTGAAAGGGTGAACTTTGTAGATGCAAGTTATATCTCAATAAAGAAAAGCGAAAATAAAAAGCGGCAAAGCCTCCCAAGGGGTCAAAAATAAGAGTAAGAGGGGAAAATCTGACTGTCCTGTTGGTGCCTGTCCTGAAGACGATTTCCCAGCATCCTCAGTGAGCCAAACCGTCCCTGTCCTCACCATTGCCCTCACACTGGCTCAGGTCTCTAGCACTCTTGCCTGGGTAAACTAACGACTTTTTTTTTTCCTTTTATATATTTGTTTTAAAATTACCTGTGTTTTATCTTCATTTTATTTGAAATGGAGAGAGAGAGAGGAGAGAGAGAGAGAGAGAGAGAGAGGAGAATCTTCCATCCACTGGTTCACTCTCCAAATTCTTCCAATGATCAGTGATCAGGACTGGGTCAAGTCAAAGCTAGGAGTTGGGAACTCTGGGTCTCCAATGTGGATGGCAGGGACCCAACTACTTGAGCCATCATTTGCTTCCTCCCAGGGTGCAATTTAGCAGGAAGCTGGAGTGGGGAGTGGAGCCGGGACTTGAACCCAGGCACTGTGGCAGGGATGTGAGTGTCCCAAGATGCATCTTAACTGCTATACCAAATGCCTGCTCTGGACTAAAGGGTTTTGACAGTTGCAAGGATCCAGCCCAACTCTCTTGCTTACTAGGGTGGGGGTGGGGGGAGCTAGTCCCAGACAGCACAAGTCACGTGTGCAGAGCTCTCTGCTCAGTGGCTAAGCTGCATCTGAAACCCAGAGTTCTTTTTGGTGGTCCATGATTGCAATCACTTCCCCTCTCCTTCAGCTCCTCTTGCTCCTATCCTGTTGCACAAGGGAGCATCCAAAAGTTCCTGCGGGCTGGCCTTGTGGTGCAGTTGAGTTCAGCCGCAACCTGAAACGCTAGCATCCCATATCAGAGTGCTGGTTCGCATCTGGCTGTACCACTTCCGATCCAGCTCCCCGCTAAGGCACCTGGGAAGGCAGTGGGTGGCGGACCAAATACTTGGTCTCTTGTCACCCCGATGGGAGACTGGGTTGGAGTTCTGGGCTCCTGGCTTCAGCCTGGCCCGGCTTCTGCCATTGTGGCCGTTTGGGGAGTGAGCCAATGGCTGAAAAATCTCTTTCTCTCTCTGTCTCTTCCTTTCTCTCTGTCACTCGGCCTTTCATATAAATAAAATAAATCATTAACAAAAGTTAATGGAAAATGCAATTAAAAGATTAGTTTATTTTGGTGCCAACATTTTTGAGACTTGTGCACACAAGGGGTCTTCCAGAAAGGCCATGGAAACTGTTTATTCTGAAGAAATTACGCCTTTCAAAAACTGTGTGTGTTTATCGCTTTGCTCCTCAGCCAAAGTGCAAATCCTGGGGTCCTTGACCTCCTGGCGTGGAGCACAGCAGAGTTCCTTAAACGTGGGAGAAACCTGGAAGCGTTTACAGAGGAGCTGAACCCATTCAAGGCTGTGGCTAATCTTCGTCCGGACAAAGCCAAGGGTGTCGTGCTGCAGTCCATTGTAGATTTAGAAAATGGAACAAAAATCCCAGGAATACAAAGAAGGAAAGCAAAAGCTCCCGTAATTCCAGCCCCTAGGGAGTAGTATCTGGTGACAAGCTTTGCTCTGTACAATTGCCCGCATGTGCATCACGAGTGCGCACAGGCAGCCATCTTTCTGTGCACCGGTGTAAACACATAGACCACACTTACAGAAAGGACTCCCGGGCTGCACACTGCTCTTAAATGAAAAGGGAAGATTCGACAGTGTGCATTAAATGGGAAGAATTTCGTTGCGACTCCAGTGATTCATGTCAATGACGTGGAGACAGAGTCGGTCAGTATTTGTTTTCTTTCTTTGCTTTTCTTGGTGCAGGAAAGGGTGAAAGAGCGAGGTAAGAGGGGTTCCAAGAACTAAGGCGCGAGTGCTTTCCTGGGTCAGGGCCGTGGGGCCGCTGCCCTCCCTGGCCCCCGCCTGGCTCCTCACCAGGTCTGTGACGAGCGAGACCGGAGCCTGAGCCGCTGTGACCCGTTTCCAGAGTTCTGTGAGCTTCTCCCCATTCCTTGTCTGTCCTCGGCCGCTCCAGAGCCCTCCACGCGAGAGGGCAGGGAATGAGAAGGCCTTGTTCCTGGGTTTGTTGCCAGCACAGGGCCTGGCAAAGAACTGACACTCAATAAATATTTGTTAACGAATGAATGGATGAGACACTCATGAATGGTGTCTTTTGTTATGGAAATCGCTGGACGACATGGTCTTCTTTGGAAGTGCCAAATAGAAATTCTATATTTAGGTTCTTGGAATTAAATAACACAAGTATGTAGTATCAAGCATGAATTGATTATTGGGATATGTTTTTCTATCTTCAAGATCCTGTTTGTCCTATTGGTTCCACTCCACAGTTGAGGGATGGCCAGGGTCCACTGGGGTCCTGGGGCCCCTCGGCTCCACCTGTCTATCAGGTACCCCATTTTCTCTGATTGCGGAAGACACCTATATCCATCCAGGCAAGCCTAAGGCAGAAGTTCTCAAACTTTGGTGTTCTCAGGAATTGCCCAAGGCTCAGAGAGCTGCATTGAAATTAATTGTCCAGGGTGGTTTGGATGCAGGTGATCTGAAGGCCACACTTTGAGGAACATTAGCTTGAAATGGTTCAGATTCAGTATCTTTCCAAGTACAGGAGAGGCTGTGTGGGGGCCGTTGGGGTCTTTGTCAAGACTTGGCTTGCCACAGCTTTGGGTTCAAGGAGACCGGGAGTCACTGCACAGTGGTTCATGTCCATGATGGCTGTGCAGGATCTGCTTTTATTTCCTGAAGAGCCCTAGGAGGTGGGCTCTGTTCTGATCTCTGTTTTACAAGAAAACTAAGGCACGGACATTACGGCCCAGTAGAGTGCACAGTGAGATCACATAATCAAATTTTGTGTGGTTCTTCATTATTTTTTAAAAAAAGATCTATGTATTTGTTTGAAAGGCAGAGTTACACACACAAACACACAGAGCGAGAGAGCGAGAGCGAGAGAGAAAGAGAGAGAGAGAGATCTTCTACCTATTGGTCACTCACTCCCCAAATGGCCTCAGTAGTCTGCTTGGGCCACGCTGAAACCAGGAGCCTGAAATTAAGTCTGATTCTCCCTCGTGGGTGGCAGGGGCCCAAGCACTTGGGTCATTCTCTGCTGCTGTCCTGGGCACACAAGACAAGAACTGGACAGAAAGAGAGCAGCCAGGGCTCAAACCGGCACCCACGTGGGAGGCAGGCTTCATAGGCAGTGGCTTAGCCTGCTGTACCACAATGCCAGCCCCATCTTTATTATTTTTATAAGAGCTGGGGGAACCTGGGGAGTGTCACTGGCCAATAGCAGGACTGAAATTTATATTCCGACTTCTACAGCTATGATATTCCTCATGCATAGATTGCTTTTGACATCCATGAAACTGGCAAACAAAAGTAAATGGTAGAGGGGCCGGTGCTGTGGTGCAGCAGGTAGAGCCACTGCATCCCATATGGGTGCTGGTTCTAGTCCTGCTGCTCCACTTCTGATCCAGCTCTCTGCTATGGCCTGGGAAAGCAGCAGAGATGGCCCAAGTCCTTGGGCCCCTGCACCTGTGTGGGAGACCCGGAAGAAGCTCCTGGATCCTGGCTTCGGATTGGCGCAGCTCCAGCCATTGCAGCCATCTGGAGAATGAACCAACAGATGGAAGACCTCTCTCTCTGCCTCTCCTTCTCTCTCTGTGTAACTCTGACTTTCAAATAAATAAATAAACCTTAAAAAAAGTAAATGGTAGAACAGGTGAAATTCAAACCCCTCCCTCTCCTGAGTCTATGCATGGAGCCAGCCCTGCTGTGTTCTGATCCTGTTACTTTGATCTCGAAACGGAACTATTAAAACTCAATAAGAAAATGAGCACAGCATGATTAAAAAAAACAGGCGAAAGACCTGAACAGACACTTCATCAAAGAAGTTTGTAGATGGCAAGTAAGGATGTGAAAAGATGTTTGACATCATATATTTTAGGGAATTGCAGATGAATTGACAATGAGATACCACTGCACAGCTATCGGAATGGCCAAAACCCAAAACACTGAACACTGATGAGGATGTAGAGAAAGAATAACTAACTCTCATTTACTTCAGATGGATCACAAAATGGTACAAACACTTTAGAAGATATATTGAAAATTTCTTTTTTTAAGAAGATTGGTTTATTTACTTGAAAGTGAGAGCTACAGAGAAAGAGAGAAGGAGAGAGAGAGAGAGAGAGAGAGAGAGAGAGAGAGAGATTCCATCGACTGGTTCATTCCCCCAATGGCTACAATAGCTGGGACTGGGCCAGCCTGAAATCAGGAGCCAGGAGCTCCTGGGTGGCAGGGGCCCAAGTACTTGGACATCCTCTACTGCTTTTCCCAGGCCGTGAGCAAGGAGCTGAATTGAAAGTAAAGCATCCAAGACTCGTATGCCCATATGGGATGTCAGCATTGCAGACAACAACTTTACCAACTATGCCACAATGCCAGCCCCCAGCAGTTTCTTACAAATCTAAACATACTGTTACAGTATGATCCAGCCATCACCCTCCTTGGTATTTACCCAAAGGAACTGAAAATTTATGTCTATGCAAAAAACTGCACATGGATGTTTGTAGCAGATTTACTCACGGTTTCCAAAGCTTGGGAGCAACCAGGATGCTCTTTAGTAGACAAATGGATACACAGACTATGATGTGTTCAGACAACTGAATGCTGTTCAGCATTAAAAAGAATGAGTTGGGGCTGGCGCTGTGGCGTAGCGAGTAAACCACCACCTGCAGCATTGGCATCCCATATGGGCACCACTTAGAGTCCCGACAGCTCCACTTCCCGTCCAGCTCCCTGCCAATGCACCTGGGAAAGCAGTGGAAGATGGCCTAAGTGCTTGGGTTCCTGCACCCATGTGGAAGACCTGAAAGAAGCTCCTGGCTTTCACCTGGCCCAGCCTTGGCTGTTGAAGCCATTTGGGGAGTGAACCAGTGGAAAGAAGATCTCTCTCTCTCTCTCCCTCTCTCTTTCTCTCTCTGTAACTCTGCCTTTCAAATAAATAAAATACATCTATTTTTAAAAAGAGCTATCAGGTCATACACGTATGTAGAGGAAAGTTAAATGTCTCTCATTGAGTGAAGGCGGCAAATCCGAGGAGAACCACTCACTGCATGGCTGCCACATCCTAGCAAAGGTGGCACAGTGGGCGTCCGCAGGCACAAACCCTTCAACAACCCGTAGCAGCGTTATATACTGGAGGATGCCTGAATGATATCTATCAAGTTTTCCATTTGTTGTAAACAGTCCAGCGTGGTGGTGCGGAGGGAAGTGGCAGAAGCCACACATGTGGGGACATCTCTGTGAGAAACGCTAGTCACCCGTCTCATGTCTGTCCCTTAGGCTCTTACACTGGGAGTGGATTGCCATGTTTAAACAAAGCCCTGGAGGATGAATAGCAAGGATTAATCAGTTGCTGCTGTAAGAGCATTCATATGTTAAACTTCGATCCTCAAGGTCTTAATCAAAATCTTGTGGAAATTTCAGGCATTACCCCAATCTGAGCAGGGAAGTATTTTTCTATCAGCTCAAACTTTCCCTCCCTCACTCTACCTATGCATAGAATTGGCCATCGGTGCTGTGGCATACCGGGAAAGCTACTGCCTACAGGGCCAGCATCCCATATGGGTGCCGGTTCTAGTCCTGGTTGCTCCTCTTTTGATCCAGCTCTCTGCTGTGGCCTGGGAAAGCAGTGGACGATGGCCCAAGTGCTTGGGCCCCTGCACCCATGTGGGAGACCTGGAGGAAGTTCCTGGCTCCTGGCTTTAGATCAGCACAGCTCCATCCATTGTGGCCATCTGGGGAGTGAACCAGCAGATGGAAGACCTCTCTCTCTCTCTCCCTCTGCCTCTCTGTAAAAAAAAAAAAAAAAAAAAAAAAAATTGGCCCTGATCCCTGACTTTGGATAATTGCTATCTTTTCTAATACTACTTTATAATGGCATGATATTGTGTGACATTCAGAATGCATCAACTTCCAGATACTACTTTTTTTCCTTTTTCAGATTTATTTGTTTGTTTGAAAGTCAGAGTTACAGAGAGAGAGAGGGAGAGAGAGAGAGAGAGAGAGGGAGAGAGAGAGAGAGAGAGAGGGAGGGAGAAAGAGCGAGAGCGAGAGAGCTGCCATCCACTGGTTCACTCCTGGCTGCAATAGCCAGGGCTGAGCCAGGTAGAAGCCAGGAGCCAGAGCTTCATCTAGGTCTCCAACATGGGTAGGAGGAGCCCAAGTACTTGGTTCATCTTCAGCTGCTTTCCCAGGCCATGAACAGGGAGCTGGATTGGAAATAGAGCAGCTGAGACGTGAACCGGCACCCACATGGGATGCTGGCACGACAGGCGGAAGCTTTACCTGTTATGCTACGGTGCTGTCCCCTGGATACTATTTTCTGTGAGTTGAGAGCTGTAGCTAATCCATCCTGTGAAGCATTGGGATAAATAGGGGTGGTTCCAAGAGGTTAATTGGATTTAGTTAATTAATTCTTTCATTCGTCCGTCTCTCCATCCAAACAAGCAGCATGCGTGGAGCACCTGTTTGATACATGATGACGGTGCTGCATTAACATGACCTAGGGTGTGCCAAGTGGTGCCTGACTTTGGGGGGCTCACACTCTGGGGGGTTGGTGATGTGCTAGGTGAGTGAGTCTGAGACAGTTAGGGATTCGGGAGGAGGAGGAGACTCCTGGTGGATCGTGCCAGAAAGCTGAGATTCATCATCCATCCCAAAGATGTCAGAATCAAAACCCAGACCCAAGGACTACCATCTCTGGTCCAGCCTTTTCTTTTCTCTTCTTTTTGCTATTTTTCTTTTTAAATTTATTTTTAATTTTTAAAGCAAAAATTTTTTTTGTTTGCTTGAAAGGGTTAGAGAGAGAGAGAGGGAGAGAGAGAGAGGGAGAGAGAGAGAGAGAGGTCTTCCATCCTCTGGTTCACTCTCCAAATGGCTGCAATGGTTAGGGCTGGGTCAGGCCAAAACTAAGAGCCTAAGAGCTTCAACAGAGTCTCCCACATGGGTGGCAGGGACCCAAGCACTTGGGCCATCTTCTGTTGCTTTCCCAGGCTCATTGGCAGGGAGCTGGATTGGAAGTGGGGCAGCCGGGACTTGAACCAGTGCCCATATGTGTTGCTGGCATTGCAGGTGGTGGCTTTACCCTTTATGCCACAACACTGACCCCTGGTCCAGCACTTTCTGTGTGACA